TCTCGATGATCTTGTTAAGCTCCTTCAAATATTCCACAGCCCTGGTAGGGTTCTCGATCGGGCTTTCCATGTCGCTCCGAGTGCCTTTTTTGTCCTGTGTTGGTTCCCTGTTGTATCGCAGAAGCCCGGGGAGATGGTTCTGGGTAGTCCAGGCTGGGTTTAAGCGCAACACTTAGAGCAGATTGCGCCTTTTACGCCTCGCCATTGTTTTTAAGCCGGTGTGGGTGATAATACAGAAGCAGAAACACTCCCCGGTACGCGCGTTTAGAAGTCCCACTGCACAAAAAAAAAAAAAAAAAAGAATTAAACTAGAAGCTCCTAGAATCACGCATCAAGCTGCAAATGTCAGCAGGCATCAAACATGTCAGTCAACTAAATGTGACAGACTACATTGTGAGGATCGCACTTGGCTCTCTGTGAAGTCTGGTTGTTCCCCCTGTTGGCAGCACGGTATGACATGTTCTGTTGGGTACCTTTCGCTCCATGCTGCTCCCAGTGACTTTTCGTAAACAGACGCTGGCTGTCAAGTAGGCGGGGTTTTCAAGTTTTATGAATCTGCAGGTCGCGTTGAGCGCAGGAGCGGCTTTGCAGCGTCTGTAGGGGGGGTAAGGCAGGCGGATCTAGAGTTTGTGGGCACACGTTTTTTTCCCACCTTCTCTCACGTTCATAATGTCAGAATGTCTTGATTCATTTCCAGTGCGTGTGTTCTGCGGGTTTGCACATAAGCACACGTCCTCGTATTGCAAACAGAACATTACACATTTTGATAACTTTGTTGCATTGTAGCCTCTCTCTCTCTCTCTCTCTCTCTCTCTCTCTCTCTCTGTGTGTGTGTGTGTGTGTGTGTGTGTGTGTGTGTGATGTAGCGCACTCAGACACGGAGTGGTGCTGCGCCTTGTCTGCAGAGTTGTTTACTATGCTGTCTGTGCATTGCCATTTCACCAGCAGGCTGTACCCCCTCCAGTGAAATGATTATGATAGATAGGGGCAGCGTGTGTTAGAATCAGAACTGACTTCCCCTGTTCAGCACGTTTGTATGTGTGGCAGGAGTGCTGCAGATTGGCACAGGCAGTGTCCCATGGGTGCATGAGAGCAAAACCGCAGCATTTGCTCTGTGATATACAGAGGCTGATGCTTAAGTTTCATGGGTGACCATTTCATTCCCGTCTGCCTTTGCCTTGGCACTGGGGCTTTAAGATGCTATGCCATAAAACTTAATTCAGTTTGACAACTGATGTTAAGATGATTGTAGGATTTCTATGACATTGTAAAACTAGAAAAGTTTTTAAAGCAACACAGCCTCTGTAGGAGAAAGACAGTCTGTTTGCCATTTAAAAAACATCCATTGCAGCAGGATATTACATTACAGACATCTAGGCACTGAGAGGAGAGTCAGTGACTGAGACTGAGCAGTGGCAGTTTACATTATTTGCTCTGCTCCCTGTGTCTTTGCGATCACTACCCCGTGGCTGGTTTTGTTATCAACACACTCACACTTTATAGCAGTTCTTTAAAACTCACAACATTTTCCACTTCTCTCATAACACTCCTTTTCCTTTTGATCAGATTTTTTTCAAGGCTCAACTGAGGTTTTTGTATTCCTGGATGCACTTACAGCGCAAATAGAGTTGCTGAATGCTTTGTCCATGAAATTGAGGACTTTACCTTTATGGCACACCACCTGAAGCCTGCACTTGGACTATCTGAAATAACTTGTTTTTAACGTGGAGGCAGAGCTGAAGCAAACCAGTGACAGTAGGGAAGCAGTTTAAGGACATGGAGTGCAGATGGAGTACATCAGGTTTTTCTCTGTGGCTCCCCTAATCCACATGGCAGGAGGCCAAGGGCTGCAAGAGCCTCGACATGCCACCCAGAAGGATATACAGTTCACAGCCACTACCAGTCAAGTCACAGGGTGGTGTTGCTTGTCCACACTGCCAAATGCCACGCTTAATTCCTCAGTTCTGACACATATCTTTTCTTGTGGTCTATAACACAGCAGAAACAGCATATATACCATATAATCAGGTAAATGTGTCTGTTGTTGGCCCTTCACACAACAACAACTGCCCCGTTCTACAAGCAGTGAGGAGACCATCCTTCAGCTAGACGGTCCATATTCAAATCCTTGAGTCGCACCACATATTAAGACCGGTTCAATACATCCAGCTCTGGCGCTGCTGTTCCTCAATTGACCCTGTGTCTGATAGCCAAAAGAAAAAGGGAAAAAATAATACCACAAAAATCACATCATAAAATCCTATTCCTCTAAACCAAATCTGATATTTTCATATTTTCTTGTCCACAATTACACTATCCAACCATGCAGCTCAATCAGTCATACATACCTTCAACTCATGGTAGCTCTAACTGGAACTCATGACTTGCCAGCAACCACAGGATATTAACCACTTCAAAACCTACTGCTTGTTGTTATTATCCTCCTTTCTTCCTTTGGCTGACCAGTCATATGCCAGTGCCAGTGTGGGTGCCAGCCAGAGAGATTTATTTTGCGAAATCACTCGTATATTTTGCACTGAGGCAAAGCCACTCGGAAGCGCCCCTTACTTCAGCCCTACAAAACATTCGCCAGCTGTGATGGAAGAAAGGCCCCAATCATTTAACCAGTAGAGTGGAAAACGTTTTTTTTTCTTTTCTTATTCTTCTTCTCAGAGAATGCCAAATAGTCTCTGCTGACTGAGCCCTACAACTACCTCATATAGATGTGCATTTGTGTGATGGATCTGAGCTGGCACACAAGAGGGAGCACTGTAAGCAATAAAGTAATTTACTCAGTTTTCTGATATCCATATAATACATAATTAAAGTCATAAATACCAGAACCAAATAGGTTAGGGAGTTTCCTCAGTGGTGCTCCTGCAACAAATCAAAACAGCAAGAATGTAGAGAGAGCTTGATTAGGTTTGCATTGACATTTGTGTCATTTTTTATATGAATTCTGTAACATAAACTTCAGCCCTTCCTCTCTTCATACTTTTCTTTTTTCTTGGGGGAAACACTGAAACTTACATAACCAAGAAAAATGCAACTAAATCAAGTTCAGCTAATTTACCAGTGAGCAAAATGAACACACTTTCACTAGGCTCAAAACAGCAACCTGTGCCTGCTTTCCAGGCTCACACCACCCAGATCATCCTGTGGGAGCAGCCTTTACCATTCTTGTCAGGTCTCAGTCAATGCCCACTTCATTGATCCCCTCCACTGACAACACAGTAAACCATCTGGAACAGTGGCGTTTTCCCTTCACCCAGGATGCAGCAAGATGGTTCTCAGCTCGACAGGCTGGCAGGTGGGGTTTATGCAACCCGTGTGCCTTAATGGAGAGAATAAATTGAATGTCATTTTGGCTTAACACGGATGACTGCCTAAATGAGCTATAGATATACTGTACGGTCACGTTAAAACCCACATGTGGCTATCATTTGATGGGAGTAATTTAAAAACGGTCATTTCCACTTTTGAATTTCAACACATTTTAACTGAAGCGGACAGTAAATCAAAACTAGTGTGCTGCTGCTGTTGCTGTTGTCTCCTAAAAGCAGCTGCTGAAGTGGATAGCCAATCAGTTGGTGCACCTCCATGCACAACACAACACACCAGTTAACATGTTTTCTTCTCCTAGGCCAACCAACATCTTAAGAATACCCTTGAGACCCTGTTGTGGCCACAGTTTGAGCTATACAGCTGGTCTTCCCGCGCTTCCTCATAAACACCTCTCAGGCATGAGTTGAGGCTCTATCAACCAAACACCCCCTCTGAGAAATAAGGAGCATATGGGAAGTAATTCAAGGGCTATAGTTTGGATTATTTTTCATATGCAGCACTGTATGTTTGTGGGTTTTATGTGTCTGTGAACATAATTTCCACAGAACCCATGTGATTAGCTGTGAGTTAATACACTAGAGATGAAATGTCTACAAACAGCACATATTCTCCTGTTTCGGCTTCTTAAATGTTCTTTGAATATGTAGGTATTTAACACTTTAACAGAAAAAAGTGTACTTTTTTTTTTAAACAATAAATTAGTACATGAAAATGTACACAAAATCCATATAAGCCAGTCACTGTCTGTGCCAAGCCATGAAGTGTACCACAACTGATCCTCTACAAATAATTCTGTGGTGCACATCCCAGCCTGCTCGCCTACTCGAGATTGTGTAGCAGTTGCTGACATGCGGAGGGAGTACAAATGAGCTGGGTGACTGGGACCCACCACAGTAGACCAGAGCCGTGTCACAGACAGATGGGAGATATTTGATCACAAACCTTTACACATCCTCAGGGAGCCAGAGAGAAAGACACCCTCCTAATCCCCTCAGTTTGTGTACAATATGAAACTATGGGGAGTGTACTGGCTTTGGGATGAATGTGAATTTAGCCATTGCTGATGCACAAAATCACTAGTTTATATAGAGAGGAACTTTCCTTGCATTACTAATTGTATTTCTTGTGTTGCAAATCAATAAGTTGGCACCAGTTACTTTAGTGTTTTTCCACATATACACAATAAACCAGAGAAAGAACTAATGCATAAGACAACAAAATAATTAAAACCGTGAAAACATCTGACCAGTGTGGACAAAACATTAACATAAAACAGGATTAAGTAAATTAGATGTCAACAAAATGCAACAAGGAGGAAAACTAAATGTATAAAAGAGCAGATGAATGAAACAGCACTGATGCAGAAAATTAATTCATAGGTTAGTGTAGACAAATTTGTAGGTTGACTGGGTAGGTGTGACAGCAATGTTACAAATGGAGCAAAAAGGAAGTTGTTAGTTCAGACAGATCTGCATTTCCCATTATTCATAGAAGAAAATTTTATTTTCTGTATGACTTATCTGTCAAGAGTCGCAGCATGTGTAAGACTTGTTATTTGTCTGTTAAATGTTATGTTGTCAGTTTATTTAAATGTAAACCTTTCAGTGCAACATATATTTATAGATGTCTTTGATGAGTAATTAAAAGACCAATGCTGAACATGAAAAGTAAAAACTTTAATTAGCAAAGGCAAGAGCATTTTAACACAAGCAAGCAAACTTGTGTCTGTATTATGTGCTGAAAGCCGTTCAGATATGATTGTAAGGCGTGACTATGAATCTTAAACACAAAAACAGCACTGAAACCATCACACAAACATCTCTGACAAAAACTGAATTTCACTAGCTAACATAAATATGATTGCCTGTCAACATCTTTTTTTTCAAATACAAAAATATCTCATTTAAAACAAAGTCACACTCTTATGCCCCGGCAATTCAACAGTGCTACAGTAATCTCTCCCTACGAATGTGGTCGGGAAAAAAAACAAACAGAAACATTACATTTTCAGAAATGAGAACTGGTCACATTTGATTGCTTTTGCATTGAAGCAACACCAGGATAAAAACTGAATGATGGTTCACATTCCTTAACTGTTTCACATTCATGAATTAGACAGGAGCTGCATGTATTGTGGCTCAAAAACTCAATAATGTCACATAACAGGGAAGTTAAACTTCCAAAAAATGCCCAAAACAAAATAAAACCAACCATTTCCTGGTTAGGATTATGCACATTGGACGGGTTGTTGATATATGGACGGTTTTCAGTGGACAGCATTTTCACAATATGTATAAGCTACAACAAAACAAGGGATATTTTCCACTCATAAAAGTCTCTTCAAGTTAATGTTTGTTTTCTTTCACACAAGAACTACAGTCATCCTGAGTTATTCAATGTCAAATAGGATAAGTAGCACACAAGTAAAGGGCAAACAAACGCAAAAAGAATCCTTACTGTATTTAAGCACAAACTAGTGATCTGAGCCTCAAAAGATGTCAGTTAATACCGCAGTGGTTTTGTATAAAAACGATTTCCATGGAAAACCACAAAAGAACACACACACACACACATATATATATTAACGGTTTCCACACACAAAAACATACACACAAAAGAAAATAGCCCTGTTTTCAGCTTGCAGTACTTAACTGATCTGCTATTCTGAAAAGTTTCTTTTAAGCATCTGTACCAACATGTAAAGACAACTGAATGAAACTGAGATTTTGCAGTCACATCCCATATAATTCACACTGAGGGACAGAGGCACGTTCAATATGCATTAATGGCCTGTGGTGTTCTTCTTTTGAAGAATAGAGATCAGACAGAGAGCTTCATCAGGTCCTGTAGTCCGGAGAATAGAGACGCGACCTGGGGCTGCTATTTGGGTCCATCCTCGGTATTCTGCGGTTGAAGGAATTCCCGTCTACAGAGTCTAAACCTGAAAAAGAGCCAAATAAAGCACTAAGGAAATAAAGCATCTGTAGCAGAACAGACCAGTCACTTTGTGGAGAGAAAATATTATATACAAGAAATAAATGGAAGAAACCAGTTGCTATCAGTTAAAGTTGGACAAATATGGCAGAATTTAAAAAGGAAACATCACTTTGGCTTTAAAGTCACAAAAGAACAGCCTTAATTTGTGCTGGTAATGTGTATAAATCTCACTGTAGCAGCCAGAACACAGGCTGTAAATTGTGACGTCAAACACCTCCTGCAGCAACTTCATTAGCAATAAATTGGAAACTTGGGTGATACAATGATTTAACATCCAAATGAGCTTTAATTTACTATGGGTTAGGTGGTACTTCTTAACAAAAAAAATCTATTCTGACACCAGAAAATTGTCCTGGATGCTTTCACAACCTATTCTATCTTTTCTAATGAATTCTCAGTGGAGCTGTACAGCCTAGTGGCATTGTAGATTTAGAGGTTGAAAAAAACCTTCTCTTTACCCATTTAAAACAAAAGCAAGACGGAGCTCAAAGGCTGGCATTTAGTATTAGCGTGTTAAATCCCTTTGAATGTATGCTTTAGTCTTTATTTACTTGATAGTCGTATTGGAGAAGTGTCACGGTGAGAGTGTCGTACCTGAAGTGGGTGATGGTGTCCTTGGCATGAAAGCAGGATGATAAGCTTGTTGCTTTGGAGAGAACACAGTGTGGAGGACTGCAGGGGATAAAAAACATATTTAAAACATTATCACAGTGTTTTAAAAGCTCTGTATTTAAAAAAAAAAAAACCTCTTGGGAATCACACAATTTCTTCACAACCTGAAGTGCTTCAAATTGTGACCGCAGCTGATAAACACAAACAGAGATTGTCAAGTTATGACAGTCCTTCACTTTTCAAAGAATGTTACATTTCTTTTGTTACAAAAGACAAGCTGGCTTGCTGTGCCTTGCACCGTTGGAGGCGTTCATTTTTTAATTATATGTAAAAGAAACTACAGCATTTGTTTTAGCTGCCTTAGAATAAAAAAACATTGAAAACATAAATTAAAAAAGCAAATCCCCAATAGCCTTGTACACTCAAGTCACATAAAACTAATTCCATTAAATAAAGAATGACAAGATGAAGCTGAAAACAATCAATGTGAAACCAAACATTCCTCATTATCCCTCTCATGTATTTAAACTCTTTATTAGTATCACAGTTCCTCCAACTATCTCAGTTTACAAGCATTTCTGCACAGAATTGAGGTGACCCACCGATGATGATGATAGCTGTACCCGCCAGCAGAGCGAACAGGGTGAAGAACATCATCTGGTAGCAGTTTATGAAGCTGTGCAGGGAGTGGCCCTCCTGCATGGTAACAACTGGAGCAGCAGCTGCTGAGAGAGAGAGCGGTCGATGAGATAATGGGCTCTTCAAAGTGTGGAGAACACTAACAAATATTAGCAATGGCACTGAGGGATAATGAGGCTTTATAACAGTTATAGTGAAATTTGATGGTTTCTGAAAATCTGCCTCGTCTGAGTGCGCACGTCCTACAGATGACAGAAATATTATTGAACAATGCATCCAGTTTTACTTAAGTTCTAAAAGAAACTTAAACACATACAAATACCTACTGAAAAGACTGTCACTTTCAGTGGGGCAGTGGAGGCACCAGATGTGATATATTATATATATTATTTTAGGATGTATTGCATTTAAAATTAATTAGAATGAATTGCGTGTTTGTTACATTTTTATTTTTTAAATAAACACCCCTACTACCTTTCCTGTGGCCTCACACAAAATCACTTTAAGCAACATGACCTTGTGGGCTTGAGGCACGGTGACTTGTCATTTGACCTGAAAGGAAAACTGACCTTGCATAGCAGCACTGGGATCAGCCACGTGAATCAAAGTGACAGGGATGGTGAGAGTCTGGCTGCAGGAAGTGCTACTTATGGAAATAGAAGCAGAGACCGCTGCCTGAGGGTCCACAGCGCTGACAGTGTACTTTGAGAAACCGGGGAATCCATCGTGTACCTCGTTCTCATGAACAGCAATGTTGGAAGAAGTAGACACCACCTAAATATGTGGAAATGTGTTATATACATATATACTTTTATAATTTTGCATATTTTCTTAGAGGTTCTGCTAGAAATAATGTTCTGTCTGACCTCCATGTTGGACAGGGCTGCAGTCGGGCCGTAGATGGTAAGCTCAGCTGATGGGTGCAGGTTTGACAGCAGCAGCTCAGTCTGGTCAGAGTAGAGACCTGGCTCTATGGGCAGCACGGCGCTGACTTGTTCCCCTGCAAAGGCACTGCCTTTCAGGACTGCCTTCACCAGCAGGTTGGTCATGGACATGCTGAGCACACGAGTCTGTTGGTCAGTCATTGGCTGCAAGGCCATGGAACATGTGTAGAGGCCTGGGGCAAGAGTTCACAGAGGGAAAAGTGATGAGTCAAGAGAAATTATTGTGTGCATTTGGGACAAAGAATTACTATGGATGTCACAGTGTGTGATCCCTAGTGTCAATGTGGTCTCAAAAAAGGTGCATGCTACGTACTTAAAAGCAATATATGTTCCCACTCAGTTCTAATCTCGGAAGTTGTCGCGCAGGGTCATATCATGATCACATGTTCCCATTAGGACCCTCAGTGGGATTCAGCTGAGTGGTTACAGCCTTGTACACACACAGTGGATCCCCTCAGAGATAAGCCAACAACTACAGGGAAGTCCCAAACCCCAAACACAATTAGACCAGTGCTTTCAAGCAACAGGGGCTCTCTGCAGTTCAATACATCACCTGGACACCTTTTATAGTCCCTGCTAAATTCATTCCAAGAGCAATGCAGGTATTGATTATGCTCTTGTAAACAGTATTTTCCCGCCAGTCATGCAGAGCATACGCATAAACAGTGTGCCTGAGTTAGGTTAAAGAGAAATTTTATTTTGGAAATTTGGAACGCCTATAAAAAGGTAGAAAATTATGTGAATGTTGAAACAATCAATGCTGATATGGAAAGTTAGGAGATTATAAGATGTAGTCTTCAACCAATAACTAAAAAAAGATACAATCCATAATTTAAATGTAAAAGGAAGGTAGCTGCAATACCAACATTTAAAATACATGATTGGATAAGGCTTGATGCACTGTATCTGAATACAATGAAATGATTCAATACTGTCAAAATGCTGGTCTGAGTTTCTATCAGCCTTACCAATGCTGGAGTCAAAGTCGGTGTGTGTTTTGAAGACATCATTAGCAGAGAAGTCAACAGCATCACTGGTAAAGCTGAGATGGCAGCTGACAGAGGTTTCTGGCTGCAGCTGTGAAATAGCTTCCGTCTGGGCAGAGGAACAGGTTCCTGCAGGGTAGAGCACACTGGCATAAGATACAACACCTTTGTGCTTCATTACACAAAAGAATATATTAATATGAATGACACTGATTTATTTAAGTCTTTAGTTTTTCAGTAGGCCAGTTAAAAATAGGAACAGGGACTGTTTGACATTTTGGGAAATCCACTCATTCACTTTATAGTGAGAGAGTTAGATGAGAAGACTGATACGTCTAGATGTAAGAGGGCTATCTATCTTCTCATTTAACTTTCAGCAAGAAAGTGAATTAAGTGTATTCCCCGAAATGCTGAACTATTCCTTTAACTAAAGCTTACTAAAAAAAGCAAGTCAGTTCAGTACCAATTAGGTTCGTCCCCCTCTCTCTGGTGGTGAGTAGGACCTTTGATGCCTTGCCGTTCCTGACAGGTGTAGCCTGTGCCATAGCTGCCGTCTTTGTAGCTGATTCTACTACCACCTACAGTGACACCCAGAGAAAGAAAACAGCCAATAAATCCTAAGAAGATTCAGGTGTGTGCTTGGAATAATCAGATTATAATTTACATCCACAGCTAATTGTTTGCATCTATCACACCAGACTGTCAGTGAAACAAAACTAATTAAAACAGCCCAAAGTTTATTATAACATTACTGCTACCTATCAATGTCTCCTCTCACACTGTTAAAAGAAATAGCGCCATTCAGTTTGTTTTGTTTGAATGCCTTTGAGCACTTTTCTGTTCAAGATAAAAGACCTCACACCAAATCTCATCAATTCTTGTTCTGCTAATAGGAAATGTTTATATATATTTGCAGGTTACATTCACCTCACGAGCAGGAAGGATGGAGCATGGTGACACTCTGAGGCAGAGCCAATTAATCCTTTCCACACTCCATCATGTATGAGAATCTCAACAGCGGTAATGTCATGCACATACAGGTGATGATGGATATACTACACACCTGTTGTACCCCATTTCGCGGGATGATATATTGCTGCAGGATTGATACAGTATGATACACTGACAGAGAAGATAAAAATCTCTGGAGAATAGAGACGTTGAGAGTAGAAATAAAGAGACCAGAGAGGCGTGCTGTTTGCATAATTACAACGTAGAACGTGTTTCTTGTAGCTCATTGATCACAGCCATGACTCAAACGGGAAACAATATATACCAGGGTACACGCAGCCTGCAGTGAAGCATTGCAGCTAAGATAGCAGTGACTACCTACTGATAACGTACCTCTATGTATGTTTTCAATATACCAGGTATGTCGTAATACACAGTGACGGTCCCAGAGTCTCTGGCGACGGCTGCCCCACTTTTAGGGTCCATCTGAAGAACACCATTAGCCGAGGAGCTCCAAATACCATGACCACCTGCAGAGAAGAGAAGATAGTCCAGCTTTTAGAAAACATATTTACTTAAAAATATAAGCATCTCCTCAGCCAAGAGAATTACTATCATTCAAAAGGACTTAAGATAAATAGGTACTTTATCCGAAAATTACATTAAATAAAATGCAGTTATTAGAGTGCCAAATCTGAACCCAACATTTTATTTCCAAATGTTTCTTGTTATTATACACAATACAATATGTGTGTAGCTTAGAGGTCCAGTGTGTAGGATTAAGTGGCATCTAGTGGTGAAGATGCAGATATCATCAAACTGAACACTGATGTGTATTTGAAGACCTGGGAAAGAGAATGGGCTGTGAAGTGTGCTACTGTCGATACATGGCGGTTGAACATGGCATACTCCCATGGAAGGTGACCCTTCTTTACTTACATTTCTGACAACAGATCCTCCTAAATGTTACACACTGGACCTTTAAAAAGAACATGTAGAGCTCTCACCATCTGAATTGGTTAAATGGGGGGTGAAACAGACCACATCCCCCACCACCAGTCTGTGGGCCTCAGGTGGGTGGATGGCATGCTCAACAGGTAATGGAACGTAGTCTGCCACACCCACGTTTCCACTGTCCCACACTGCAAGAAGAGTGAGGCCTACATTGATCGTCCTCACTGTCAGAGTGTTGTTATCAGGCCCAATTCCCACCTGCACCAAGTCATCCCTGCAGGACAGAGCAGAGGTACAGCTTGAATTATAGATGAATTACTATTCATAACTAATCAACTAATCAAAATCAGGTGGTAAGTGATGCTACCTAACAGAACTTATTTTCCATCTTTTTCTATCACTTACTTTAATTTGATACAGAGTAATTGTCAATCTTAAAAAAAAAAACATGAAACAGAAAGAACATGCCAATGAAAAAAGCATTAAATTTTAAACATAAAATGTATGTTTTAGGAACAAGAACATAAACATCAACAAAAAAAAAAAAAAAAAAAGTGTGCCCCACATCAACATTTGTTTATAAAGGTTAGCAGACTCACATTAGCTTCAGATTAACTTGAGAATGTCTTTTTATACAGTTCCTAACTCAGGAACAAAAACTACATCTAATCAAGTTTCTCTCTCTCTCTCACTACCTTGTTGTGACACCCCATGGTCTTGTCATTGATCCCTGTTTGACCATCCGTTCATCCTCTTATACACAACCCATGTAATCCTTTCATCCACGACTCTCATTCATTCTCCCAGACCTTATCTGTCGTACCCATAAACTAATTCACAAACATAAATGGCACTGTTTTCTTGCTAGAGAACTTACATTTGGGACAAAACTATAAGACATGCTTAACAAAACAAGCTTTGTCCTATTTTATTTAATTTTTTCCCCTGAAAAAATGTCTTGCTATTTGCCTCCATCTCTACGGAAAATGTTCTGAAATAGGGCCAAACTATTCCCACCTGAGAAACCAGTAAAATCCAATTGGCTCCTTGGAGACTCAGTATGATCTAATCACAGGCCAGCCCCCTTAGTCCCAAGACTATCAGTCCTTTACCAGTTTGATTTTGATACTCTTCCCCTAAAATTGTCTGTCAGCACCTGGAGAACAAGGTAATAGAATCAATTTATTGTGCAGACAGATGAGGGAGTCCCTCATTGGGAGAGCAGCAGTGCTCCTCTAGCCCATCACTCCCATTAATTTAGCTCACTCACTCAGGTGGAAACAACTACATCTGAAATCAAGTTGAAAGAACAGCCCTTTAAATTAATGTTGTGAACTCCACATGCAGCCTGCCACTAAAACCGGCCATGACCTCAATGACTCTGGTTGTACTGTACAGATATTAATGCAAACAGTGTGAACAAAGAAGAATGGTATGGTGTATCGCAGCACTGGCTGAGTATAGAAAAATACTGTTAGCGTTATGGATATGTCTGTGTTGATCAATATCACAATGTCAAATACATTTAAAAAAAAAAAAAGTGATTTTTGCATCCTAACAACAATGCGAACAATGATGTGTAAACATTCCAAATGAATGAATTTTCTGTCCAGCTGGTTGAGGGAGAGTAGTTTGTGGGTTGACATGACTTGTCTGGCAGAATTTGAAATACGGGGGGACATTCGGTCACGCAAGGCTGGGTGAGGTTGCACGAATGGACCACTCAAGAGAGGCCTTGGTATTCTCTCTCTCTATATATAGCCCAGAACAGCAGGATAATAGCTTTTCAACCTTGGGGCTCTAAGCAAACTGCAAAACATACCATCCTCCCTCCTCTGCCTGTCTATAAGTCATGTTTCTCTCATTGAGTCACACTGTTTATGAAAGTATGAATTACTGTATGTCAGTAAATACATAATGTATTAAATAACCAATAGATTGTCTGGTGACAGACCTGTTTGTGGAAAACGTAAGGTGGGAGTTGGAGCTGTGTAGGGCCTCTCCAGTGCTAGCATGAAAGTGGACAGTGAAGGTGAGCACTGTGCCCAGGGGGAAGGCTTTCAGGCTCTCTCTGGTGTGTGTGTAGAGCACTGGACTGGTACTGAAGCGCAGATAGGATACAGGCACCACCTGAGGAATGGAAGAAAGAACCAGTGTCGCATTAAGTATGTGCAGAGACAATGTCAACTGTTATTTCCAGAGTCAGCACTAATGGCCAAATAAACTGAGACTTAGGCTACATCCACACTAATACGTTTTAACGCATAACTTTTACTACGTTTACGTCCGCACTACTCCCGATATAGCCTGTAGTGGATGTAAGAAAGATAGATAATGCATGGTTACTATTTAATATACTGACTATATATTTTTTTACAAAGACGCTATATAGAAAAAAATCTATAATGTCACTTTATCCCTTATGTATTCTTTCTAGGGCCTAATATATAGGAAGTGCGGTTTAACGTTAAACATTTACTTTACCATGCTCTGTCTATTCAAAACTAAACTGAAAAACATAACATTTCCTAGATGTGAATGCTTCTTGAGCTAACAAACATCTTTTTAGCTCAAGAGTAAATATTCTGATGTTTTCTAATCACAAACAACATAATTTAGTTTTTAAACATATTTTAATTAAATTGGGTAATTTGGAATTTGCAACATTTAAAAGTTTTGGCAGACATACACAGCTTCTATAATAACTACAAGAGGTCATTGTGCTGGTAGTATTCAGAAAATACTGCTTTTGAAAGCAATAATGTGAAACACTTTCCATGCAGTGGCTCTCAAACTGACCTTCACAGCAATGATGAGAGTTTGATTGACACCAAAGGTCTCTTGCGAGGTGATCAACAGAGAGGAGGTGCCAGTTAGAGAACCAGAGAAGAGAAAGCCCTTATCATCCACTTGAGCGATAACAACCTGGTCAGGGCAATCTAGCATCCGGTAAGAGAGTGCGCCCACACCATCCCTATTAGACATAGAGAAACATAGAGAAACATAATTGCATCAAGTTTATCTTGTAGTTCTGTACATGTTTGTCATTTTGCATTGCACAATCAAAGTTGGTCTCTCTTTGATTTTTGAACAGACAAAAACCACCGCGAAGTCGCTTGTAACTCACCTGTTAGTTTGGAGTTTGAGGGCTGAGTTCGGAGCCATCAGTAACTCCTCAGCCTCCACTTCAGGATTAAGCATGTGCAGCTTGTCATAGACCTTGATCAAAGCAAAGTGTTGAAACTCCAATTATTAGAGGGCTTTAATCATTCTTTGATGTTTCGGAACCAGTGACATGTCATAGTTTAATGCAGTTTGAAGCTGGATGCATTCAGCTCCAACTAATCTGCAGTCTTATCACTTCACAAACTTAACAACGCCACATATTCCGATGCTCAGCAACTTCAGCACTGTGCTGCCTTAAATGCCAGCTTTCTCTATTATGAAGAAGCAGCAGGGGGACATGGCCATGATAAGCAAAATAGTCCATAAATGGGGTCTTTATGAAATATCTGCATATATAGTATTTATAATACTGAGTGTGTGTTTACAGCATTGATTTTCAGGTGTATCTAAACAAAGAGAGTTGTAGCCATATTACTGTACCTGGATCTGGATCTCATCTGTCAGCTCCCGCAGATTCCCCACTAGCTGCCCAGCTTCAGGGTCAGTAACTCTGAGCACCACCTTCAGCCCTGTCCGCCCTCTAGTTCTTCCAGTCACCCTCATGCCGAAGCTGTGCCCTGACTGGAGCTCCACATTAGCCTGAAGGAGACAGGAACCATTATGAGAATGGCAAAAATAGCAGCAGCAAATCAAATAAAAAAGGCAACAGTGATGAGAAAGCAGGGACAAGGCAGAGGCTGACAAGAAAGCAGAGACAAGGCAGATGCTGCTTTTTTAATCATGCTGTAATGCAGCGACAACACATCTTAAGTCAATCTGATAAAAGGATTGAAGGGACAACAGGAGCCAAAAATAGGAATGGTTCAGTAGCAGAAACTGCATGTGATGTCAAATCCAAGAGTGAAATCCTGAGTGAAGTGTACCTCAGTGTGTCTTGGCTGGACATCCAGAATATCTCTCTTGGTGGTGGACCAGTGGAAGGTGAGGTAAGGTAGAGCATTGCCAAAGGAGAACGGTGTTTGACTATTGGTCAGACCCATTACATATACAGGCATCTAGAAAAGGAAAGGAGATGAATGAACATGGTAAGTACAATATCTCCCACAGAGAGTAGTGAATACAGTAAAATAGAAATAAAATCATACTTGCGCTCCTGTCTTCATTCTTGTGATAGGTGCTCTGATTCGAATGGCCGTCAATTGCACAACCTCAACTTCTACTTGATCCTGAGGACACCAGAGGGTAAGACTTTCATCTGTAAAATCTAAGTTAGTCTAGTTCACATCATCTAAATATATTTACCTGAGAGACAACGACTAGCTTCCCAGTTTTGGCATCAACAGCTTGGACCAATCCAGTCACAGTGACATTGCCAATGGTAACACCCCTGACGTGACCCATGCCATTAACAGAAGCTATTTCCTCGTTGGAAATGGAGAAAAGAATATTGGACTGAGGCTGAGGGCCACCCTCAGATGTGATCTATAGATGACAGCAGAAATGAAAAGGGGAGGGATCGTTTGAAAGAGAAAAACAGAAAAGGGGAGAAAAAAAATGGTAGTCTTACATGAGTGATCTTGACAACAATGACAGTTTAGTCAATAGCTTTCATCAATGCAAGGTTTGATAATAATTTACTGAAAGCCATTATCCTTTGTGTATTTAACTACTTTAGATTATAAAAATGGAAATCCAACACAAATAATGTGCAGAGCATGTGTATTACAGAGTTCGATGTTCAGCAATTAAGAGGCCTCTTGGATGGATGGTAAATGCTTTCTAATTAAAGCATGAGCTGAGGCAAATGAAAGGCGAGCTGGATGTTTAAACCAAGAGCAATTAAGCTAACGTCATCTTCCAGAAGGGTCCTGGCAGAGGGCTCTTTTGGAAGATAAACTGAGGACCAGATGAACTCTTCTGGCAAGACAAACTGAGACCAGCTGTTTTCAGGCAAAGCTTAACCATCAGTATTATACATACCTGCATCATTGCTCCAATTAACAGAGTTATTTTCCTTGGGACGAGTTTGAATGGTGGAAATACCTAAAAGTAAAATAAATGAAAAAAGGTTATGTGCAACACATGCAAGGGTCAAAATCTGAAGAATGTTGTATCTGGTGTTGACCGCTTCTTCCCTGCCAGTGAGACTCTTGGCCAAAACAAAATGAACTGACCTACCTCATAACATATCATATTATATTATATTGTCTCCTGGGCCTGTGCAATATACCTGTGCAATTTACACTTTATAGGGTTTTGTGCAATTTACAATTACAATGCTCCCACTTTCTCTTTTATTTAGGGTTTTATGCACTTTATTTCTAGAGAAGTATGTTTTATAGATTTAGGTGTCTTTCTTGTGTGTCTTTTTAACTTGACTTGACTCTTTGAGCAAACAACCACACAAGAGTTCCTATGTGTGCAAGCACAAATGGCAAATAAAGTTCTTGAATCTTGAAATTTGAACAGACATTTTAGAAATTCACACAAAATTATACCTCAATTTGCTGAGGTGCAGATGTAATTTTTCTCCCATCTTTATCCACAACAACAGCTGACAGAGTAGTCTGACCAATAGCAACACCTTTCACCAGGAAAACTGCTGTATCATTTTCTGTGGACTCCACTAATGGTCTGCAAAAGAAGGCATTGAGAAAAGTACATGAAGCCTCGCAAGTTCTTACATCCTCAACCTAAACAACATCTTACTACTTACTTTAGAGAGACTATTGCAGAAGCTGCCTTTAGCTTAAGATTCATGAAACGGAAATTGCTGGCTGGGAAGGGCTTCTTATTGGAATCCAAGACTCTGACATAAGCTCTCACAGACTTGCCAATCTCCACCTGTAATACAGATGAATGACATAAATCACTAGGGATATAATCATTTTGGATCACAGGCAGAATACATTTAATGATGCTAATTCAAGACAGGCTAACTTTCATGAAAATGGGAAGGAAAGTGCTGAAGAAGACAACCATGTGTAGTGCTCAGACATCACTGAGGCATTTCAGAAATGTGTGGTACTGATAAGAGGGATCATCTAGTCAAGCGGGGTCTGGACCCTCCAAGATGAGGGATTATGGGGCTGTAAACTGACCTTGTCAACCACTCGCACATAAACCTCCAAGATGTCAGAAACGTGTACTGTGGCCGTTGCAGGTGTTTGAAATGCCAGACAAAGGTCATGAACCATCACCTTCACCTCCCCTGGGTAGACGGGAGAAACCTGGGCACACACGGAAAACCAAAGTGATGTTTTCATTGTCAGAATCTCAGATCTCTGCATTAGATGTAGTATGTTTGAGCAGTATGGATTTCTTGGAAATTAAACAGCATGTTGTTAAAGATCACAAACTATTCCCATTGCAGATACAGATGTTCCTTCATACCTGAACTGTTCTTTGGGCCTCTTGGAACACCACGTCCACTATTCCTTTAACACTGGTATTGACGAAAAAATAACCTGAACCTTCTTGCAGAGCCAGATTTGCCTGCAAATCAGAATACAATCAATGCCTTGTGAGTGTAACGGTGCTGAAAATGATTATAAGACTAAAATGATTACATATTGCAGGTTGATTCAGAAAACAGTGCTGAAAATGATTACATGACTAAAATGATTACATATTGCGGGCTGATCCAGAAAACCGTCCCAGTTCATGGTCACGTTTTTCTGACAGCCAGCTAGCCTTGCATGTGACATCAAAGGGGACCTCTGACCACTCTCTTTAAAATCCTCTTACACAGGTCACTAGCTGTTATTTAACCCCCACACCTTCCAAAAACTGCTCCTATATCACACAGGATTAGGAGAGGGAGGCCCACTGAGGGAAGAGGCCAAGGGATACAAGTTTCCACGTGTCAAGCAATAACTTTTAACATTGACATTTTTTTCTGATTAGTGAAAAGACTAAATAATATAATTTATGATTAAATATCAAATGCAATTTTACTTTTTACAAGCCATGAAAAGTCAGTGAGTCTTTCACTGTTCACCCTTCTGAGAGTAAAGACGGTAGTGATATCAGCACTGTTAAATATGTCCCTTACTCGCACATCTGGGTGGTTGTATATGGTCACTGTGACAGGAGAAATCTTCACATCTTCAACTAACAGGAGCTCCAGGGTGGCTGAGACAGGGGTCAGGGGGTCATACTGTCCAGAAGAAGAAGAAGAAGAAGAAGAAGAAGAAGAAGAAGAAGAAGAAGAAGAAGAAGAAGAAGAAGAAGAAGAAGAAGAAGAAGAAGAAGAAGAAGAAGAAGAAGAAGAAGAAGAAGAAGAAGAAGAAGAATTTAAAAAAAGAGAAGCCTAATTAGGTGCAAGTTTATAAGAAAAGGCATCCATCCATGAAAAGAGTGTAACCTGCACATTGACTCCAAACAACACATTTATTTAAATGAACCTTCTCAGATCTGATTGGGAGAAAAACATTCATTATAATGATATTTTTAATAATGTTCAGTTGCTTCTAATTTGTGAAAAACTTTCTGACAGGTCATGTTAGTGGTTGAGCCATTGTATTCACTTACTGGACTGGGAACTTTGGCATCTTCCAGATGTGAAACCTGGTAACCCAGAGTGGTCACTGTAATGGCAGCAATGCCTGTCTGATGATGGACAAGAACTGTCCGGCGTCCTGAAACAAAAGAGTAATTACACAAAGACCTATCCACAATATTTGCCATTGCTAATCTATGAAAACAGACAGCAAAAAAATAAAATAAAATGAATACTTCCCCGTCAGCCTCCATTGTCTTAGAATTAAATCCTGCCTGAGCTTTCTCTCCTGCTTTTACCTCATTACTTTTCCAAATGTAGAAAGAAAATGTTAAGCTGACAACCCCCTCTTTCTTAAAAACACAACAAACACAAACTGACTAAAAAGGTTTAAGGCAAGTCACAAGGTTTTACCATGAAGTTTCTTCTGTTTGTTGCCATCCGGAGACAGCAGCAGCTCCATGGGCATAGTAGGTTCAATACTGGCCACTGACATCTTGGTCGATTCCCACAACACACTCAGAGAGCTGAAGTTGTCGAACTTTCTTCCTTGTTGATCAAATGCAGCCAGGTCCAAAATGGGGTTACGGTAGTTTGACACAGGCACCTATAAAAAGGTATTCTTAATCAAGTCATTTTCCCAACGTAAGGGAATCACTAAAATCATTGAGATAAAAATAATTTTAGGTACAATGTGTTAATACTGTTCTTCTGTAAGGTAGCTGTCACTTTCTCAGATGACAAGTGTCCCCTTTCAGAACAAAAATAATTTTACAAGCACCAAAATTACATTTCTTGAGTGATTTCTGCATGGAGACAGGGAAGTAATCAATTTTAAACAAATACCAGCATTAAATGGACGCAGCTAAACACCGTCAGGAAAATCTTGTTGATCCTTGTGAAGGAACCACATACATACCACTTGTTTGTTCTGCTGCAGCAGTGGGCAGGTCAGGTCCAGTTGTGGGCTGGTATACACTGGGACCAGGGTGAGACGAGATGGGGGGGCACATACGAACTTGACCACTGCCAGCTCCACAGCAGGGTAAGGATTGGTCACACTGGCCTCATTTCCGACCGTCACCTCCAGCACCTGAAGATTAACATTTCAACTACAGTTGAAAGCTGCTGACAAAATAATACTGTTGTATTACTGTAACTATTTGTAGCCATTATAGTGACTAAAGTCTCATGTATATACAGTGGTAATACAAACAACTATAGCTAGATTATAAAGCTAGAATTTTGAGCTATTGTACTTACTACTCAAGTTAGAAGAAAAAAAGTTATGAAATCTAACCATAAAATTCTTCAGTTGGGTATAAATAGAAACATGATTTATGAAGATCCCACCTGCTCTCCCAAGGCTCTGCAGGTTGCTCTGACCCAGTGCTGGTTGTAGTTGTGAGATGTGGGACTGGTCAGAGTAAGGCTCACGCTGGCCTCATCCTCGGCTCTCAAGCTGCAGAAGAACTTTGATGGCTCTAAAACCCAAGGCCGTGGCCCGCCCTCAAACAACATGTCTTTAGATGATCCCAGAGTCACCACGGCCACAGATACAGGGTCAATCGCCTGCCAAAATTTTATTTTATTATGTTTCAGGAAGAAATGCTTTTACAAATGTCAACAGATCTGGGGGGAAGAGAATGTAATTAACATAGAAAGTAGAACACAAAAGAGAACAATAATGCAATTAAAAAATTAAAGTTCTCTACTTCAGCTTGGCCATTGTAGTGTTAAGCTGGGGACGTTTTGAGCAGTAATTTACAGCAAAGAAGCAAAATTGGGTCAACCTTTAGCTGCCAGGGCAAAACAAGTAAAGCAAGATCACAAAAACGTCTGCAGTATTCTGAAGAATATTACTTAATGTCATGATAAAAAGAATACATAGCCTCAAGTCAAAAGTGGTGCATCAAACAGAATGCTACTGTACTGATAACCTGAATGTATTATGAAAGCAACCACAGCTATTGATGGTTCAGGAGTGACAAAATGTTTCATGAGATTTTGTCACCTCATCATATTATGTGTCATGCTGTTAAATTAAGTATGCTACCAAAGCAGTTGAAGTCAATTTCATTCTGGTGCAGTACTAAAGCCCAGGCGTAGAAAACAAATCAGTGTAGCAAGTGTATATAGTGCATAATTAAAATTCACAGAGGAAACCCAGGAGGAGAATATTTTAACACACTGATGATCGCATTTTTGCCTTGATTTTAGGAGAGACTGTGTGTACGAATGTGCATGTGGGTGTGCCATGCAGATGCCCTATAGCATTCAAATAGAAAATAGTATAATATTTAATAAACAACAAAAAATGACCCACAAAGAAATTAGGCCTTATAATATTTAAATATAAAGAGGGAAAAATTATATTCCTCAAATTTCATAATGAGCAAGGTCCTATAAGCATGAAACCTTTGGACTCACTCTGAGAGGTAGATAGGCAGCAATGGTGATCTTGGCACTGAGGTGAACATTGCCATGGGTGTAGCTGACAGTAAGCATGGTGTACCCAGAAGCCAGGGCCTTGGCTCTCACCCCACTGCAGTGGTCCTGGCCTGGAGCCAGTCTCTCTGGATCGGGACAAAGACGGTTGGAGGAAGACAAATAATAAGACAATGCAATATAATCATGTACAAATAACCACAATTGTTCATTCATCTTCCTATCAAATCCCACTGAAGTACAGAGAAGTCTTATTATGTGTCCCAGCACACTCTTTTGATTAATAATACAAGATTCCAAAATGAAAAACTGTAGATCTTGCTAACAGTGGAACTTTCAAAGAGATAAATGTTATAAAGACATGGCATAAAAAATTTAAAATGCTTCAGTGTTAGAGAGGATTGTGACCATACGGTTTGTCAAACACAGGCCACTACCAGTGTTTTTTCATATGGGTGGCCAACTAATAACAAAAATATATTTTTGTATTCATTATTTCTTTAATTCTTACCCCCATAATGTGAAACTGTAGCTGAAGGTGTGAACTGATTAAAAAGTTTCCTGCACTAGTGCATTCATAAGAGATTGTAAATATTGGGGAAATTAATATAAGAACGTTTTTATTACAGTTATTACTGCAATCACAACAATGAAGACAAGGGGTGCCCACTCCTGCATGTCACACTGGACTGAACACAGCTGTATATCAGTAAGTACACGACTATTTTCATGAAAGAAAGTGAGCTAAATAATTACCCTCCAAGTGTATAATGCATAATTAAAAAATTATTAAAAAACAAGCCCTACACAATTAAAAAATAAGCCCTGCATGCATGTTTACACCAGCATTGCTAAATAAATCCTACACACAATACACACTTTAGGCCTGCCTCTGGTTCCACTAGCCAGTCACTGGACAAGAGTGGTGATCAGTCATATCTCATACTGAACAACTAAACAGAGTGATCAGTAAATGAGTCCCATGACTGAGCATCCATTGGTTAGTAACCTTAACTGAAGTCCATTGTCGCTATTGTGTTCCTTTCATTTCTTTTTTCTTTTTTCTTTGAATGACAGTATGAGCCAGTCAGATAACTCCAACTCACCATCTAGCAGTTGGAAGACGCCGAGGTTCTCCTCTTCAACCTGCAGGTCAAAGTGGGAGCAGTCACTCAACATGACCTGCTCTTTCTCCACTTCCTCCAGCAGGCCTAAAATCCTGAGTGGCAGATCCAGAACCAGGCCCACCCTTGCCTCTACTGGGCAAGGAGCAAAGTCCATGGCCACAGGCTCAACAACGTACACCTGAGCAAAAGCAGAATCAAAGAGGTATAACAAGAGCGTTAGATTTAGAGCTGGGAATGATAATAAAAAAAGGCAAATTCAAGCTATAAGACAAGTTAGAATTATATTTTCAATTCTCTTGAATGGCCTCCTTAAGTATATAAAACTGAAAAAATCATACCCTTTAATAAAATTTAAAATTAAGACGCAGAATGAAACCCCACTTCTATCCATCTTTTAAAAATGCTCCACAGACAAGCAAAGTGAAACAGAAAGGGCGAGGCCAAAGCTGAAGAGGTGTTCAAGATCTCTTGAATTTTAACATTGAAACTGTTTTAGCTCCAAAAAGTGGATAAATATGTTTTGCTTTGAAATATATGCCTTTTGTCTAAAATCTGCATTAAGAGTGAAGACTGATTCTGAAGTAGTAGCTACTTGATGACAAGTGTTTATATATTCCCCAGTGCTCTTTGATGGGGAAAACAAGGGAAAAAAACCCCTGAAAATTTTGTTTCAACTCTTAAGCAACAAGAGAAAAACAAGATAACTATTGACATCACATTTTCAATCAAATATTTTAAGTTGCTGATTGGTGCAAATAAGGACAAATAAATCATATTGAGATGCTGATTGAGAAAATTGTTTTATATGACTTTTAAAATAAAGAACCAAAGTCAATAAAGTCTTAATCTCCTTGAATCCCATGGACCTCTTTATGGTTTCCACTTCAGTTTGAATCTTTACCCTTCAAATGTCATGTTAATTATTTATTAGTGTATTGTGTAAATAAGGAATGAAAATATGACATTATCGGTCACTACTTTGACATCAACACTTTACTGAAAAATACTGCAACGGAAAATACTGTACGTTAATCAGAATTATAATTTGTGCCATGACTTCCATATGAATGTTTAATGAGAGTGTTTCACAACGTGAGAGTTTGCAAGGTCAACTGACCTTCATCTGGCCAAAGTGTAGAGGGTTGCGTAGATCATGAGCATAAACTACGCTGACGCCAATGTCACTGACTGTCGTCATCACTCCCTTCACGGTCACGGTGGCGACAGCTGTATTGGAGGAAGACCAGCTGAAATTTCCACTCCCTCCCGTTGCCTGTCATAGAACAGACACTAGGAGTCATCACAAGCACCAGAATGAGACTTCTCAGAGGTAAAATGACAAAAAAAATAATTTCATGTTCATGACAAAGATTAATTACAGCAAACGCTGTCTTATACAAAATGTATCATATGCTTGACGCTCCCGCCCTATGACAGATTAAACACCATTCAGGCACAAAGTTTGCATGTATCCTGAAAAGGAATAATTACCTTTATTGTGTACTGATAAGCTCCAACCTTGGGCTGCCATGGAAATGTGAGAATACTGGGACTAAGAACTATGGGATTATAGATTTCTACATCTTGTTCGTTGTGGACAGGGTTGGCTAGTGCATGGACATTTCCAGTCTGAAACAGAAGGCCACAGGAAATGATCAAGCTCTCTTTACTGAAGTGGAAGAAAGGGGCAGATGGTTAATGCAATAATGATACTCCAGCTGAAATATAGACTCATAAGGGTCACAGATGCAATTAAACTCACTTCATCCACAACAGCACTTAGGGTAGCGTCAATGAGAGTTAGGCCTTCTTTGAGAGCTTTGACACGATGGTACGATCCATTCAGAGAAGACTCCAGGAGCTCAAAGTACTCCGCAGGGAAACCAGTGTCAATACGGACATTCTGCAAAATCAAAAAACATACATAGATGTCTATACCACTGCCTCTGTATGGATCTAGAGAGAAGCCTGGTTTCAAACTTTTACAGACTTTAAGGTTATTTTATAATGTTGAGTGTCAAGACTTTGATTTGTTCATACTTTAATGGTGACCATTTTCTCAGCACTGGTTTGAAATATTGGCTAATAAAACTCATAGGCCAGCGAAGGAAGGCTCAACATGCACTAAATCTCTCCCCTCTAATGTCTCTCAGATGTGTTTCAGGCTGCATCTGATTAATGATGACCAAGTCTTTTTTTAAGGTTTCCAGTGAACAACTCGGAAAATCCATCTCAAATTATTGGAATGCAGGCCCATTATCACCACTAATGAAACCAAACAAGTAAAGATAAAGAGAAAAACAAGCAAGAAAGGCCTGCTTATATAATCACACCAGAGGTTGTGTTCTTTGCTAATTATGAAATGTGAAATATTCAATTTCATCAACAACATAAGGCTGGTCACAGGGTGTGTCAAGAGTGACTTTGACACTTTACTGTCACATTATCTGCCAATAGACATTCACACAGATGCCCAATTCAATTCTTAAAAAAATAAACGTAAGCATACTTACATCAGAGAGGTAAATTTTGTTGCCGGATTTATCAAATACTTCAATGAGGATGTCATATATTCTGCCCGTTTCGAGAACCCAGCTTTCTCCTGGACGAATTTTAAAAGCTAAACAAATTACAGAGAAAACAGAGGTTAGCTACATATTGTAGTGAGACTATGAAACACTTCTCGTTATTTTTGGTAAGAGCAAGAAACAGACCTAGGTAGCCTGGTTCAACCACATACAGAGTGCTGTTGGGTAGGCGAGACACTCCTTGCATTCGAAGACCTAAAAAGATACTACTAAGGAAAATTAAGCCAAGCAGCACACTCATTGATAATGACAGCTTGAATTTTACCATTCTCTGCTGACAGATAAAAATCAAGATTTGGTTTTAAAACACTTCATCACTGCAGCTAAAACAAATCCTCAGACTACATTTTATTAGCTCTTTATCATCTTAAAGCAAAGTACATGACATTATACCATTAAAATAACTGCTACAGAGTGCAAGTACAACTTATCAGAAGGATACTCTTATGATCCAACACCACATTCATGTGTCCCAGTTGAATTGCTGTAACAATGGAGGTGCTTTGATCCAGACTGGCCACAGCAACATCTGGATTTCCATTAGGGCCAACTGCACTGTTCTGAAGGTGCAGTTCATACTGATCACAAGGCATAGAGAGCTCTGGACAAACACAACACAAACACAAATTAGTTTAAGAGCTGGCATTAAAAAGGGCACAGCTGCTCCACTCATCAGGTCACAGTGAGTGAACATCAATGACTAAACCACATTTGTATTCATATTTTAGGTATCAAACTGATACTTGAACGTCATGAGCTGTGAGATGGCTGTGATTAAATAAATGTACTTTACTCTTCACTGAAGAGAGTCAGACCTGTGATCGTGCCCTGTCTTATCTTCAGGACTTTGTATCGGATGGAAGTTCCCGCCAGCAAGTAGACATCGTGTGCAGGACTCAGCATGATGTTCTCTAAAATCAGTAGGCTCACCTCCGCTGCACCCACATCCTGTAGCACAGATACCATGGTTACAGAACAACAAAGCTTCAACTTCCCGCCTTAACAAACTAGAATATACTGGTTTCAGTGTCCATAAATGCCACTTGACTGTCACTACTGCTGTGACATAATTTATAAGGCAGGAAGTAGGCACTATTACTATTACTGTGCAGTCTTTTGCTATTTGTAGGATATCTGCATTGGAGGAGATGAGTTACCGCACAAATTGAGGACACAATTTAACCAGAAGTTATTCTACTTATGTGATTTCCCCTTTTCTATTAAAAACAGACCAAAAACCATCTATGACTATAACAATAAAGGGAAATATGTCAACTTTGTGCTGGTTTCAACACCCCGAAAATATTATGAAAGCTATTTGTTACCTTATACAATGGCTCTTGAATTTTGGCCTTCAGCTTGGCATGTCCTGTTTTCAATCCTGACACCAAAATAATATCGCCCTGTTTCCCAACACGCTCCATTTCAGATATGTATCCAGGGGGTGTGTAGGTGGACTCAGAGAATTTAAGTACCCTTGAGGGGAGAAAAGGGACAAATTAGAAAATATATTTGAAATTGAGACTCAACCCAGCATGGGCCGTTGCAGCTGACCTCAAGAAAGATTCAGAGGTAGTAAAACAGAAACATAACACTATTTTGGCAAAACAAGATAACTGTATCCTTGGTTTTATGGTTAGTTTAGCAAATCAGTGTAGGTTGATCATTTTGTCTACTTTCAGCTTGCTATCAGATTTTCCACAAAAAACAATTAGGGTATTAACACAGGAGCGCCTACCGTAATGAATTGTAAGAGTCGGAGAATCCATTCACATCTACATCTTTCACTAAGGTCCAGTCAAACACTAGACCAGAAAGGGTGCTGAAGGTATTTCCTGCAACATAAAAGAGAGAAAAAAGTCAGACCCTATCTCTTTAAGTCACAAACTTAAATCTAAACACATGGGTATGTGAGATTTGGCGAGGAACAGAGAATATCTGCACAGACCCTTTTCAACTTTTGTTATAAGGCTGATGTCACTTTACTTGAATGTATAATGGATGCTGAGCACAATTTTCTGAAAGCTCCAGTCAAATTAGATAAAACAAAACCAATAGGCATTTCATTACAGGATACTTGCTGTCCTTTTGCAAATCTACTCAATCTGAGGAATCTAAAATGCACTTTAAAACCAAAGCAAACAACAACAAAACACCAGACCCTAGACTCATCATCAGAAAGAATCAGGCTGTAGCTACAGCTCATTAAATTAAGTGTGTCTTCTTAAATGGAAACAGTCAAACAGAGCAAATAGCCACCTCACAGTAGCAGCCAGAAGGGAAAGAAAACCCTGCTTAGAGCGTGATCGGTTTTTATATTACAAGTATTGATGTAATTTATTCTTAACTGTGTTAAGGGGATACTGAATTATCAACAACACCAGTAGTCTATAATAAGAATCACTTTAAGCCAGTGATAAGCCAGTATGTCACCTTCAGAGTCCAGTGCATGAATTTTGAGTCCCAGTGGTGAGTCCTCCAGATGCAGCTCTCTGGTGGTCGACACTATCTGGATCTCACTGATGATGTCAACAATAGCATCACAACGTAGTACCTGTCCGGTAACTGGAAATGGAAGAGGGGACAAGACTTCATATACACAGTACATACTACACAATGATGCACTTTCACAAAGCAAAAAAAACTACAGAAATAAATGACATGGTGTTTTAAGGTAATAGTAATTTAAAAAACAAAGCAGTAATTCTTGTTGAGGCACAAAGCATAAAAACTACCTCATGACTAAAGCACATACGTTATCATATGTATGAAAATGAGAGTGACTTTCTCCCTGGCACAATGTTATCAAGTCAAATAATATGGCTTTTGTGGTCTACCAAGTAGGCTGTTGCATGAGTGATAGATTATATCAAACTATATTTTAAACCAGAAACAGCTGGAGTTAGTTAGACCTCAGTGACTGTGGTCTGAACAGATATGTTGTTTGTGTAAGGGCTAATATGATCTGATTTTCCTTATTACAAAGCAAATGCTTACAACTGCCATTTACCCATGACTGGCCAACCCTGTCACAGGCAACAGATGACATACAGCATTTCACAACAGCAAACCAGGAAGAATAAAAAAACAGTGTTGTGAAACAGGATGACAAAATTTCCATGAAACTCTGAGGAGAATACATGTTTACATTCTAGACATATTTCAAATAGCTTACAACGCATTCCAGTGTTTCCATTATTTTCAAGACCTTGCTTTCCAGGACAATAATATCACATACAGTTGGTATAACAAACACATATCATACTGTATACCGGTACCCTACATACTGGGCACTGCTGAGGTGCCCTTGAGCAAGCTATCGAACCTCTAACTGCTCGGGGCAATGTGCTATGCTGAAGCCCCATCGCTCTGACATCTCTCCACAATTAATGCATGTCTACATGTCCTCTGTGTGTGTAAATTAAAGACACTAACAGATTGAATATACACACATGCATTACCTAACTGACACATAGAAACAATTCTTGAATAAGCTACTTGTGTTAATTAATATATCATCTACATATTTACCAACATCTTCAGCCAGAATGATGCTGGTCAGCCTGGAGGGCTGGGTGGAGAGAGCCTGGAGAACAGCTCTCCGGGAGCAGCCTCGGTTACTCTCTTCATCCACAGCCTGGATGCTTGCTACCTCTGGTCTGGTGGAAGACCTAGAAGAATAAAAACAGGTCTTGTACATATTCATCATAACAACAATGTTGTTAATCACAGAAGTATCCGAGGTGGAATAACATTTACATACTTTGGAGATGAAGCTTTACTGTAAACTTGGATGGATTCAAAAGTGAACACCAGAAAAGCCACTTTATAAATCCATTTTACCTTTAAAGGGTTTAGCAGACACCCACTCACTGCCATAAACTGACTACAGTGTATACACATGGCCATGTGGCCTCATATGCCCCATGCAACATGACACTCGCATGGCTTTCTACTCACCATCTGTAGCAACCCTCAGTAGTTTCCAACGTGAAGTTAATCTTTGTACTCCGAGCAAGCGGAAGCAACACTTTGGGTATATTTAGTTTCGAGCTACCGTTAACTTGAACCACGGCAATTAATAATAGCATTAAAAACACTGCTGACTTCAGGGAAATCATTTCCGCTACATGAGATTTAATGGCACCAAAGCTAACAGTCGAATGAATGAACGTCAAGTTTCTTTCTTTACTAGCTAAACTTCCTCCGTCCCATTAACTTAGCTAGCTGTCTGTGTAGTAGTCGAGGAGTTGTGGCTCTGAGACAGACGTTGAGGTGAGCTAACATCGCTACGGGAGCTACATCTCAACTCAAACACATGCTGTCTTCCTGCTCAATATCAGTTTATATCAGTGAATAACGGACAGCAGCCACATGATAACAGTTACAATGCCCCCTCCAAGTCCTCTAAGTCTGCTCCTGCGCTTTGCTTGTCCTCAAAGATACTTCGAAACACTCAGAGACCAGTAGCGTTAAATCCGCTGTTTTATCTTAATGTGTACAGTTAGCAAACAATAGCGTAAAAAGGGCATAATTTCCTACAAATACCCGCCATTAGCAATAATTCGACTTCGTGTGCATGCCGGGAGTGGGGAAACGTCACACACGAGGACGGGCAACTGGTGGATGACGCTGTTTCTTAAAGGTACAGTTTGTTTGTTTGTTTTTCAACTCAATTTAATGAATCACCTGCAAGCCTGGATTACAAAATAGTCCAGGGAAACAGACAGCTTCCTTTGGCCTCAGAACCTTAGGCGACATCCCATTGTTCCCAGTGTGTTTGGTTTGTGGTAATTCAAGTAATTGCACAATTTTTCAAATTACAAAGTCAACTAGATCACAAGGCTCCTGCCTTATTAATTAATCTTGAGGCCATCTATCGGAAAATCATAGCTTATCTGTTAAAATAATAACAAATACCACCATTGTTATGTAATAATAACAAATAACTACAATGTTAATATTATATACTAATACTTTAATTCTTTAAGTTAATGCTGTGCTCACATTATGCATATAAGTAAACTAGTTTAATTTGTATACATAAAGATGACAGGATTCACAACATGATTGTGGATGGCATCTTCATATATTGTCAAGCAGCATCTGCATCCCCTTTTGGCACACCTAGTTCAGCAACTTTAAATGGCACTTACTGCCCTGTTGAAATAATAAGACTGAGTTAGCAGTTTATTGGTACACAATCTATCTAAGACAACCCTAAAGCTTTTAAATTCATCACATCCATCAGAAGCTTAATGTTCAATTTCCCTGACGGTGATAACTTGTAAATTTGACTAATCATTGACACTCATAGGCAGTAGATCTACCTGTACTCTGGCCAAGTATAATAAATGAAAGCCATTAGGACACAAATCAAACATTTGCCCTTCCTACTTCATAAGAAATGTCTGAGCTGCAATTAATTTGACCTGCAAAGCATTTAGAAGTTGGCCAACACTAGTACCTGGATAATTTTGTGTACAGTGTGAATTTTACATTGTTTTATATAAACTTATAAATGAATCTATATAACCAGACAAGGCAGATCACCATGAACTGGCTGTCAGTCATTCTTGCATTGTGTTTGGCTGTTAAGAACATGCAGTGCATGACTTTTCACCCCTAGGTGTCACTGACAGCTCCCTGTATATTATTCTCACTTAGGTAGGATGACAGCAGTGAGTTCATTATATGATATATAGGTAAAAAAGGAAAATGTCATTAGTGCCCTTCAAGCAATAAAATATTTAAGAACAGTGGTTAAAAAGAGTATGGCTGAAAGTGAGCTACATGGCAACATGTTTGAAATTGTAAAGAGCAAAATCAAGAGCAAAACTCAAGAGCTTTTAAAATCTAATTTTCCCTTTGTTTGTGTGTGTGTGAAATCATTTTCTGGCCCTGAGATAATACATGCATTGTTAGCAGAATGTTAATTATACAGACTCAGTTCAAGTGGCTGCATTATTTCTGATCCATCCTCTCATAGACTTTGAAGTTATTACTGCCACTCTTCTCCCGATTTTTGCCTCTAGTTTTCTAGACACAGGAAGATGTACATCTTGATTAGCAGATAGACTTTGGTTTTCAGATGTTTTACATAATGCTCCTTTGTGCCAAAGGTGACATATTGTTTGAATCACAATGTATTAGCAGTGAAAGCCCATCACTAACTGGTGCTATGTTCTGGTAGGTTGGCTTTAATTACACCCATAGTTGCAACTGCAGCAATCTACACATTTAATACTGTATAGTCACACTACAAAGGTAACATGGTCTAAAATGAAGATGGCTGATCTAACTTGGTTGGACCTTTTCAAACTATTTTGGGTTGAAATAAAATGACATATCTTTCTTCAGTACGATGACGGCAGTTGAGAATAAAACCTGAGAAGAGAAAACAACTTTCTTTTATTTTGTGTGGGCGTCAGTTCTACATTTAGTTTCATCTTTGTACCCCATCCATTGGCGGTGCGCATAGAATTGATGTTAGGAGTGAATGATGTAATGTCTGAGAACATGGAAAACAATACCTGAATGTCACGCTCTGTGTCTGTAGCACTTCACATCGAGCCTCATGTCTAGACAACACAAAGTGCAGCACCAGACTAAACTCATTCAAAGGGAAAAATGCTTGTAATGTAGAGTTGTTTCTGGGCTTAGATTGTTATGTGATTTCCTCAGTTAAAATCTGGCAGAGGTAAAGCTCAGCAGCGATTAAGTATATCCAATAAAAAAGTTCTCAAATGTTTTTTTGTAAGTGTTTGACTTTGTGCCTGTTTTTGGTGAGTTGAACGGTCTTAACCTTCAAAAGTTACTGATTGCAGTACATTTAATCAACTAGTATTTCTTAAAGATTGACATTTAAGATTGCAATGTCTTATATATAATGGCCACCCACTTTTATATTGGGAAATGGCGCAACATTATATACCACACCTGAAACCATCAAAGCATGTCACCTCTGTTATTAGACTAAAAAAACATGCAGCAACACCCATACATTGCACATAAAATATTTTCCTATGTCACAAATGGCTGCAGCTGCTTTGCAGTTCTGTCTAGTGTCTCCTCATCTGGCATGCATCAGCAGTCACATCCTTCCTGATGTGAAGTCGGGAACTTTTCTTGGCCACCATGGTTGGCTTGGTCCAAACAAGTGGGTGCAGAAGGCTATAGCACTTACTTAAATGCTTACTCAATGGCAATGTTCTCAACTGGTGGCTCAGCTTTCACCAGAAATGTAATAGGCTTTGGAAGGGTCACTGCTTCAAATAGTTTGGGAAGTACACAGCTTAAAGGTCCCCTAGGTGAGAGGCACAGTTAAAACTGCTGTAGGTAGGCATAATAAAAAAGTATTAGTATCCAGTGAAATCAGCCTTTGCCTCAGGGAGCTATCTTGTGTGTTCCAAGTGATGTAAAGAAGGACAAAAAGAGGTGGGACTAGCTCAAATACATGATAAGACTACTGATGTCCAGGTAGTCTTGATTCAGCAGTTTTCTCAACAATCTGGTGAACTTTGTGCTTTTTAAAAAAATTGATTCTAATGAAATTAAACAATTTCCTTAAATATCAAACCTTCCCTTGAGAAGTATATGTAAGTACATTTTCGCCTTCAGAACATGGTCTACATCATGTAAAACAGGGCAGTGCCTATAGAGCTGTGCTGTAAATCCCTTTACACAATCTTAACTGCATGCTTTAAATCCCCTTGCCATTTCCATGGTATAGGCATTAGGTGGATAGAGCTGAGTGAGCTTGTATTTGCAGCTCTATGCATTCATGATCATGGACAATGGAGGTGTAATCTTGCCAAAATGCTTCCATGTGCCCCACATTCAATGTATAATAACAACTCTTCCGTCACAACTTAAAGAGATTATTTCTAATTTATATTCACAACAAGTAAAATTATATTAATATTAGCCTAGTTGATACCATTATCATGTGTTAATATTGCACCACATTTAAACGTGTTAAATATTCTATGCTAAAGTGAAGCAGACTTAAACATTTTCCTATTTAAGCTAAAAGCTGTTGTACTGTGGGGCTGCCACACCACAACAGACATTTAACTACACCCTGGAAAGTCTTTACAAGACACAAGTGGGTAGTCACTTTCACTACATTACATTTGGGTCTTAATTTCCTATGGTCTAGCCCCCCACAGTGCCACAGTGCCCTGTCTTTGCTGGTTTACTTTAAAGACTTCCTCTTTTCACTTTATCTTACAGACCCACAGCGGTGTGTTGATGGAAAACATATCTGACAAGTAAACATTTTTTTGAGAATAACATTTATTGGTCATTAGCCACATGTTACCTGCCAAAAAACTATTATTAGACTATTAAAAATAATCCTCTGGCACTTTGTATGTGCATTTACTTGTTACTGGTTACATAATACTGTAACGGGATGATGTGTAAGGATGATTCCACATTCAAGTCCTTGTGAAATGACTCATGAAATAAAAAATAGTGGACTGAAGTATACAATATATCAATTAAGACCACCCCACTCACTGACCTAACAAAGGTTACAACAAACACTATGAGGCTCTATCCACCTGTTTAAACAAAAGCAGAAGATCAGGACAATATATCACACAATGGACAGATAACATTAACGCCTGTTGCATTAAGGGGCCCAAGTAGACAATGATGTCACCATCACTGGCATCAGTTTTAATGAAAACCCTGAAGAATATTAAGGCTATGCTATCGTCAAATGAACTGAGGCAAAAATGACTTCACTCTTCTCTGAGAACAAATAATAAACACAGTGTAATAAACTTTAAATTTTAATTTAATATTCCTAGTATGAAATAGAGAAAGTGCCCATTAGGTACATTATTACAAAGCAGAGTTGCAGTCAGTGAGCTTGGGCAATTAGTAGTGGCATAAGTCACCATTCAAACATGCATGAATGAGAAATTACAACAGTGTGGGGTGCAATTACTTCTCCCAAATCAGTGCGTGTCAGATGACATTATCTCGCAGGCTGAGAGCCATTACTGAGCTGAGACTTTCTAGCCCCATGAAGAGTACAGAGAGGTCAACTACTGTGGGGGGAATAGACCATTTGGTCCCTGCCTTTGACATGAGGACATCTCTCTGGAGTCAGAGGGCCTCAAATGTTCTAAACCTACAAGGCATCATTTCTGTTCAACTATAGATTTTTATTACAGAGATGATTTATTTTTATGTAGAGACTGTTGAATGTGTACAATTCATAACAAAAAGCAGCAAGTATAGTTGTTGAAATGCCACACATGGATAATTTACATCTGAAGTGTAGTTGCAACAGACATGATTGCAGGTGGCTATGGGTAACGTGTGTTATGCAATCTTTGTCATTTGTACAACATATGTGGAAGAAAGGCTCATGTAAAATTTGATTTCCTTTGATGATGTTTTATGGGGTTGCCTATGATTCTGAGGGTCAGCAGCTTATGGGTGTTACTTGGTTGTGTTTTAGGCTCCACAACAAGGCAGGGCTTCACAGAGAAATGACAACAGCCTCCCTGGGGATTATCCAACCTCAGGGCCACTTATCTCATGTCTTGAGGTTATTAATGATCATAAGAGTGGGTCAATTTCTAGTTGAACTTGTGCTCAGTGGTCCTGTGCCATACATGTGTCTCCATAGAAGTATAACACAGCTTGACTATGAAGAACAGGTCAGGCTGAGATAATGTTTAACACAAAAAATCAATAAAGCTGTCATTAATATGAAGTTATGCAAGTCACATTAGTGGATGAAGACATGCTTAGAGGATAACTGTTCTGTCATCAATCACTTAGAGAGTTGTTCTGTATAGGATGGATCTGCAGTTCTTTCTAGTTTTGATCCAAACTCACAAATATGCAAAATGGAGAGTAATTTTTAAGCGTTTTGTGAACATTTCATTCAATCAGGAAACACACTGAAGAGCATCTGGGGGGGGGTATTCATAATATGTGACTGATGCAGCTGTGCAAGCATTTGATTATAATAAACAGAGAAAACTAATAATGGGGCCACTGACTCATCTCTGTCATTGATTAGTCAAGGGAGACCCCTGAAACAAAGTGGCCAATGGCCCCTGTGCCCTTTGTGTGTACCTGATCAGTCTATTCATCCACTGTGGCAGCTTTTGTCTATATCTATTCTCACTAGTGACCCAGTGACACTGAAGATCAATCTAAGAGAGAACTGAGATACTGAAAATATAAAATTCACTATAGTCTGTTTTAGACAGACCCTTGTACCATGCAGTATATCCAATTTCACCAATTACAGCTGTAATACAATTAACCCATTCAAACTGCTCTGTTGACAAAGATCACAGACATCATGTGATGTCTGATGATGCTTAATGAGCTTAATTTATCAGTGTGGCTGTTGGCATCTCTAAGAGTAAACAGCATATCAGTCAACAATTTGCACCTAATTGGAAGCTGTGGAGAAGTAAATATACCGAGGTTAAGCAGTGATAATTGTGAACACAAATGTACAAATACAAACTATACATACTAGATGTTTCTATTCTTTTACGCAGCATTAACTTAACATCACAATCATTTTTCGTAAGTGTACTGATTTATTTCCATGTAAGTTGGATGATTATAACACAGAAAAGGGAACAGAAACCATTTGAAAAGGAGCTGGAAATAATGCAATGGATGTTTGTCCCGCCCTCCCCCCCAAAAAAGGGAACGAGGGCGCTCCCAGCCTACCGAGTGAGAGTCATAAACTTTACGCACAAGTTTCCTTTAGGAGCACACCAGCACTGCAAAGTCAGAGACGCAAGGTAAGCGACGTGATTTTTATGGATAAAAAAAATCTAATTTTTGAACTTTTGAATTCCACTTGACGGGTCCCACTGGACAACATGTGAGCATAGGGACACATATTTAGATTTAGATAAAAACTGTCATATTTGTATCTTGTATTATATTTATTTGAGAAGTGATTTATCGTAGCCTAAATCTACTGTTCCTAATTATATGACCGACCAGTTACATTTTTAAATTAAACGCTTTAATTGGCTATGTATGCCTTATCGCTTTATTTAATGCGTGCCGACTGTGAAGTTCAAATGTTTTAGTAATGTATTGTCTTGTTCAACACACCTGAGGAATAATGTAGTGGTTTGATCAACACACATGTTGCGGTGCACTTTCAAATAATCTTCGATAAGTAAGCGAATCTTTTTTAATTCATTGCCCGTCACTGAAATCTTTTGGGACTGACGTTTCAGCTTGTTCGCTTGTGGGTTTAGGAATTAGATGCGGGAAAACAATGTTTGCACGTGTGCATGTGCGCGCACCCGCGGGTCACATTGTGCGCAAAAGGATAAAGGTCAGTTTTTGGCTCCTGGGATGGCAAAGCATACAGTGTAGGACATTTACCTGAACCGATAGCTGAACAAACAACAGAGTATTTTTCATTCACAGAAAACAGCCGTAACGTATTTAAAGGTACAAACAGCTGAGTGTCATTAGTCCATAAGATTTAAGTGGCCTTCTTTTCTGTGTTAAAATTTCCCTTTCACTTCAATGTTGTATACAAACATATACAGTTTGGGTTTTGGTGCTTTTAAGAGTTGAGTTCAACACAACATAGCAGTTGGCAATGTGCCTTTTAAAGACTGCAAGATCTGGTAAAATGATTTTGAACCCGCAGCACACAAAGAAATCATTGATTCTCTAAATGGAGCTGCAGTGCACTTTGTGTTGCCTTGTGGCTTTGCCTGCTTTATTAAGAAGACAGAGCTACAGATGTTATGTTTATCCTGATGACCCCTATGATTTTGAGAGGCCTCTAGATTTTATTTTTTATTAACCTTAAATAAATGCACTGCATGTTTTGGTCAGCACATAGGCTGGAATTAGTTTTCCCAATATAATTGCACAGGCAGTCAGACAGATGAACTTGAAATAACCAGGTTCCCATGTGTCTTTTTGTTTTCTAAAAAGATTAAGAGTTATAAGTTGTACCTAAGTACTTGTAGATACTACAGTGTAAGTTGCAGCTACACACTTTGTGGGCTGTAGAAAAAGAAATTTTAACATCTATCCTTTGCTTTCTGTAGCTGCTCCTCTTTTGGTGGGAATCTATTCCAAGGACATGCAGCTTGGGAAAAATGTGATAACAAAATAGGCTGTGAAAGAGAATCAGTGAAATTGGTTAGAAACATTCCAGCAGGAAATGTCTAAATAAAAGTTTTTCATGCAGAATGATTTTGAGTTAATGTCTGATTTTAAACCAGAATTTTTAGAATGAAATGTCACATAAGTCTCTGCAATTGGCACAAATGCAAGCAGCGAGGAAAAACAGGAAAAGTTAAATAGAAAACACCTGGTTTTCAATATGCTCTCTGATTTGAAGTCACATCACTTACTCACAGGATCAAGCCTGTCAAATTCTGACTTTGTGCTTAGACTCTGTCTCTGCATATGGCACACAAAGTAAAGTTCCAGAAATCTCATCAAATCCATTCATTTCCATACTTTATATTACTTTATTAATTACAGTTTGTCATATTTTCTTGTATTAGTTTTTCTGCTAGTTTACATAAGATTACTTGTGTGTTATCCCATGCAACTGGAACAGTTTATGCTCTCATAATAGGCAGAAATTAGGAATGGACTGTACACTATTTGCACAACACAACCCGCCATATTCCATATTCCAGGGAAGTGGGGCAAACTATAACATTGTCATAGAAGGGAGATTTTGTTATTTCATCATTGTTTTTCAGCAACTGATCATTTTTATTGGACTATTATTGAACATATTTCCATCAGTATAATATAATAATAATATAAACCACAGCTTTCATCCCTTGTGGTGCCAGAAGAGTAGGCATGGAAAAAATGTACATTTGGCAGGTGGTCAAATTAAAGCAGACAGGTTATTAAATTGAAACATGTGTTTTTTTATAATAACTGTAAAAACAAAACAAAATAACAAGACACTGATTGTTATCAAGCTGAATGCCAGACAAAGTTTGTACTGTAAATATATCATTAAGCACTGTTTACTTTTTCAGGCTAAAAGACACAAAATTCTTTCTCATCTGGACTAAAATCTAGCCTGAAGAGACGCTTACCTTGAAGAACGGACTTGAAATATTCACATTTTTGAACACTTTTTAATGAAAAATGAACATTCAGGGGGCAACTTTGTTTTTATGTTGGATGATTCTGTGCATGGACACATGTCTAAGCCAGAAAGATTGCACAGGTGTGGACTGTTCTGTTCTGCAGAACTGCATTGAAACGGTTTTAGAGAAGGGTGCCTGTTGTCCCACCTGTGCACAAAGGGGCTGCACCTGTGAGGGTTACCAGTACTACGACTGCATCCAAGCAGGCTTCCAGAAAGGGAAAGTCCCAGAGGGGAAATCTTACTTTGTGGATTTCGGAAGCACTGAATGCTCCTGTCCCGTAGGAGGAGGAAAGATAATCTGTCATTTTATCCCGTGCCCTGAAATTCCCCCCAACTGCATTGATATTTTACAACCTGCAGATGGATGTCCTCAATGTGAGCGAATTGGCTGTACCCATGGCAACAAGAAATATGAGGCGGGACACTCCTTTCAGATTGACCAGTGCCAGGTTTGCCACTGTCCAAATCAAGGTGGTAAGTTAATGTGTTCACCTATCCCTGGTTGTGACCTTCGTAGTCCTAATAAGCCCATGTGGGTCACCACCACTGAGAACAACAGCCCTTTGAGAGACGTTGGCAGTCGTCATGACAGCCGACAAACGAGTCCCGTAGAGCCATTTTCCAAGTTGGCCCTGGGAAACACTCTACCACTGTATAAGCAGGACCCACCCAGTTTTGGCACAGATGATTATGACTATACACAAGCAGGGCCAACGTCTTCCACTATCCAAGATGTGGCCCAACCACTGGAATCTACTACAGTACCACCAGTTTACCCAGAATCAAGCTCCACGTTCTTCAGCTCCCATGATGACAGGGGACATGAACTGAGGGAGACACAAAAAAGCTCTAATCCAGAGAGGAGCAGAGAAGCTGAAGTCACACATAACATGGATCCAACCACTACAGGGGCCCAGAGCGAAACGTCAGTATCACTAACAACCACGCAGAGAGTGACCACAGAGAACCACATGCCACAACAGGAAATTGGTGAAAGGACCATCAGACATAACAGTGACAGAAACAGAGCCGTACAGGATACTTTGAAAGATACAGCATACACCTCCCGTGCAAACAATGACAGGCACTTTGGCCATCACAAACATAGCCATGGCAGTCGCATGGGGAGTCATGGCGGCTCCCGTTCTGACGACCGTAAGGAACAAGAAAAAGTGCCAGTGGAGCGCAGGCAGCCGCCAGGGAAAGAGGAGCAGGGCTCATATCCCACAATACAGTTCAGTCCCACCAGCAGAGCTCCAGTCCGAATGAGGGAGGATGGAGAGCAGCCTCAAAGACAACCCCAAACCCTCTACAACTACCAGGATGTGGAGGAAGACACAGAGGGTAAGTAAGCATACTTTTATGTTCAACAGTACTCTTCTTGTTGAATTGCAGTGATCGAAACCCGTTGAATTTAAAAGAAATCTGAAGCTTAAAATGTTTTGATTCATTCAAAGCCTACCTTGCAGCGTGATAACTTATAGCCTAGTAATGACAATGTTAGGTTGTTACTTTTTCAGAAGAATTTCTTCCTTTTCCCTCTCTAACATCCTGCCTTTTGAGGAGGAATTCATAATCACTCTATTCAAGCTGGCAGTGGTCCAGGAAAAACAATTGTCCATGGAAAGGCTGTTTTCCCCAGATAGCATTTATCCACCTTACTCAGACGTAAAAAAAAACTATACTTAGTATTTACTCATTTTCATGCATTCAAGTAGAGAGAATGCTCTATTTATTTCTCTGGAGGTTTTTAAAAAGCGAATAATACTAAGCCTGAAGCCATATTTACATTATTTGGCTTCTAATATATCTGATCAATCCTGTAAGAGCAGCTGAAATTGCAATTTCTTTGCCCTTCTTTGCTCTGTGAGAGTTAAGGGAATGTGCCTCCTGCCTGTATCCTTCATGTGATTATCATGTTCTCAAAACAGATCTGGCCCCTTCGGGGCATATAGGCCAATCCACTGCAGGCACTAGGACAGAAACCAGATGATGAAGTGATTACAAGGATGTCTAGAAGATGAGTTACACTGCACTGGAATATATGAGGAAAAACCATGTCTATTCCAAAATGCGTTATAGGTTAGGTTACATATCTTTATCTCACACAATGCCATACAATAATACAAATTTCTGTTTCTGTAGTTTTGTTGTGATTTTATGTAGTTCCACAAGTCTTAATAAACTTGCTGTCAAGGAAAACCTAATAAGATCATAATGGCCATGTACTTTATGGCTCTATGGCACAAGGTAGTTTCACTATATTGTACTATAAGACTTCCCTATAAAGTGACTGAACTAAATTATGAATGAGTGTATTAGCTCTGTCATCTCATCATTATAACCACTTCAGTAACTGAATTACTGAAGAAACTGGTTGAAGATTCTGAGAACTTTTTCTTATTGGTGGCGTTTTGTCCAGCAAAGGTGGAGGTGTGTAGTTAACCTACTTTACAGCAGAATGATGTTTGTTGAGACCTGTCAGGACTTTTCTTTCCTTTCAGCACCTGGCCTCCATAGGTATGTATAGTAAATGCTAAGTGCATATGTGTGGTATGTTTGTGCGAGTTAACTTGTTGGAGAATATAGTTTAGAAATTATTTTTGCTGTTTGCCATAACACATTTTGTTAGTCTAAGTAAAATGTGAAACGGTGTGTGAACGTCTGTGAGCCAATATAGAAATTCTTTTTTTTCTGAGAGAAAATTATATTTGCTTTGACAGACTTCCTCAAAAGTTTTCCACACTGTCCATAAGTGCATTAGGATAAAATCCAGCGATTCAGCTGTGAATTATAGCTTCATGGAAGAGAGTTTGAGTTGAAAGTCAAAGTAGGATGGATTTGTCTCCTGGGATAAGGAGCTTGAACAAAGTGGTATTGCCACTCACTTTGTAGTATGGACTGGAGGGTTCACTAGTGAAGGTCATTGGACTAAGGGAAGATTTCCAGAGTGGTGACATGTTAAAGTACAGGAAAAACCCAGCTGATAAGGGTCTTGACTAATGCCTGTTATCAATGCCATTAGCAAAGGATGCCAAAGTTATTTGGAGAGGAAAAGAGAAAGCATGAATAACAAGAACACAACCATTTTTCACTGAACATAAATGGGCTGCCTTTGCAGTGGAACACGGCCCAAGATAAATGTTTTTTTCTTTCAGTCAATAACTCCTGCTCATTTACCCTCTCTCTTTCAAACCAGACGCATGTGTGTGCTCAGAAGGGGGATGGGATTGTTTAGGCTTTCTGATGCTGGGCTGGACCTGGTATAGGATTTCTTGGGGGTTGTACCTGTGAGCAGCATAATACCCATGTGATGAATGAGACCACTGTTGTGGCTTGATTGCCAGACGCTACTCACTACTCCCTAATGAGCCGGTGCGATTACCCGTCTCCCGTGAGGCTGCTGGTTTCTCAACTTCCTACTTTATCAAGCACTAAACCTAAATGTTGAACTTAACTAGAAGAATGGTAGACATGGGTAGGTCAAGTGCAGCATAAAAATCATCTGAGGTGAGTGGAATAACTGATGAAGTGCTGGTTTTTTATCAACAGTACTGTCACAACATGCTTGCATATGGGAGTGGGCTGAGCAGATGTATAATTTTCCTTAGGATGAAAAGGAGGGTAAATTCCAGAGCTGGTCATGTGAGAGTTCATTCCCACTGTACCACTCCTGTGAAAATCCAGTCTGAAGAAGATAGCTCACTCTGGTCAATCTAGGGTGCCTTCCAGGTAATTTCCAGGAATTTTGGCATATCTCTCACCCACAACATGTCCTTACTGAAAAACCGCTTGATCCACATGTCACTCATGCTTATAAATAAAAAAAATAAACATCTGCCCCAGATGCAGGAAACCACTCATAAAAGTGATCCACTATATAAGTAGAGAGAGCTTGGCAATAAATTGTAACACAATAACAGATCTGCCTCTTGCACCCATCTGCATTTCTGTCATTAACATCCAGGCAGTGCAACTGTATACAGATGTTTTCAGACTTACAAGCCAAGCAGTCACTCATGTTCGTTCCTCCTAAGGTGAAATATAGTAAACCTTTCATATGAAATCTCACATTTTATATTTATGCTCCACTGATATAATCATTTCTAATGCAGAAAATAGTAAGTTCTAATGGGACTTGAAAACCAGCCAAACCAATTAGGTAATATTATTCCTCCGTGTTATTTTCGTCCATCACGTCCAAAATCAGGATTTGGACGGATTTCCTCTGGCAAGAAATGGCCACACTTCCTGTGTTCTGGTTTGTGAACGCACCTTGGAATATATAACGCATAATAAGGCAATGGGAAACAGGTTCAGATTACAAGACTGTGGAGAATATTTTGTCAGAGGCGTGCAGTGGAATATACTTAACCAATTTAATATGCAAAAAGAAACTCTAATTCTTTACAAAACACCACAGGTGTGTGCATGTGTGGGTGTGTCAAGGACATGTGTGGCATCTTTAGGAAACACAAGCTATACAGTAAGTTGCAATAATTCAGTGCACAATTAGTCATAGCAATTCGTATTTTAATGTTTCATTCAGGATATTTTACCACAAGGAGGTGTATGTGGATTGGAGGTTATGAAACCATCAAAGACTAAGTCAAGCCCTCGGGTTTGGATCAACTAACTTTAACCCCGATTAAGACTACAAAAAGATAGATCACATGATTGTTGGCTCGCAAACACAGGGAGATTAAGACATAAGTTATCAATAATTAAAACCTGAATGGGCTGTTTTGGAAATTAAGTCATGGTGACAGCAGGAGAGCCCTCCCTCTTATGTCACATCCAGCTGTTCTTGGACAGTGATTATGTGTTTGAGAAAACACGGTATCTCTGCAAGTACTCATGTGGAAGGTGAAAAGAACATTGTGTCACTCCTTCCCGAGACTCACACCGGCCTGCACACACACCTACATACACGCACAAACACGGACATGCTTTTAAGCTTTCGGCATGAATCATCTGACATGTTCAACCACATGAGTCCGTATGTCATGGACCCTTGGCATGTGCTGTTGTTCACATTGTTGGTCATCTCCAGTCCACCTGTATTGTAAATCACTGCCAAGTCCACAAAAGTAAAGACACCTGAGCCTTGATTAGCTGCAACGCACTGCCTTATGACACCTCCAGACATGTTGAGAGTTGCCCTTTTTAGTTGTTATTCTAGCTTCATATTTTCAGAGGGTGTGATGTCACTAGTTTTGGATTTGGACAAGAGCAAAGCATCTGGTGTTAATGCTAGTCTAATGGCCATATATAATGACAGGCCTGCAACAGATAGATGCTCCTCAGCCACCTTTCAAGTGAATGTTTTAGATCTCCATTGTGCAAGCACAATAAATCAACTTAGATAATTGTTGCACAGCTGAAAGGAATACGTTGCAATACATGCTTAATTAGAAGGTCTGTCAAAAAGACAGGAAGAGACCTGATTAGACTCACATATAGCTCGGCTAAAATAGTTTATTATTGTTTACATCCCCAGCAGCTATTTTGGTGAAATGCAGTCTCCCTTCAAAGTCATTTCATCCATTAAATCCTTTGTAAACATGGTCATGACCTGTATGTATTTTAACTCCATATACATGCCACATTCTGGATTGACACATTTGTGTAATGTTCATGACGGATGAACTGATTCCACCTGGAGAAAATGAATAGGAGGCAAAAGAAGGAGGATGAATAATTATGTTCTCTGTCTTTTAATATACATTCACTCTGGTTCAAAGGGACTTGTTTAACTGCACGGTTGGCACAGATACTGTAGTTACATATCAAAGAGTCATTGTGCCTTTCAAGGTTTAGATTTTCTCATTTCTAAACCTTTAAATTATGCACACTGCAGCAGTCACTTGTTCTATTCTGAGTAATTGCCTTGGTCCTATTATGTGTAGGTAAGTCAAGGAGAGGTATTTCAACAAAAATAAAGCAGATTTGGAAGTTAAAAAGCAAGAATGACCTTGGGCACACTGTGCTGAGCTTCATCTATCTAGAACTGCAGTAGGTTTTTGCTTGGTCTTTCCTCTGCATAACCTCCACCCTCATTTAACAGACCATATGCTATGAGAGACCAATTAAAGCTTTTAGAATTTGTTCATATAATTTTTTTTGTGTGTCTTGGTCCACCACTTTCGTTCAGACTCAAATATCTCAGAAAATATATTAATAGACCCTACTGACTTTGGTGATCCCCTGACTTTTTCTTTAGCGCCACCATGAGGTGCACATTTTTATTTTTTAACTCAAATGTCTTGATAAACATCAGATAAATTGTTATGACATTTGGTACACATATTCATGTTCCCCACAGAATGATTCATAATATTACATTATCAGGTCAAACTTTTTGTTTATGACCAAATACCTGCAAAACAGACACTAATCAGCCTCAGGTGTACTTTTAACTGAGCTGCTAGCAGGGCACAGTGTTCTCTCAGTGTATGAGCACTGGTGGCTTGGATTTTCTACATCACACTTTTCATTTAGCACAGAAAAACTTTCCACTTTGAGCTGATGAATGTGAAAACATCTTTCCAGTGTCAAACTCTGCCCATACATCATTCTGCACAGTGAAGCTCAAATATTCAGCTGTAGGAACAAGCAGAAAAACATATTTTTGAGTGGAGGCAGACTTTAAGTTAAAGTTGGAACATTCAATGCAAAACTCTTACGTTACACTGGGAGCACATATACTAAAACTCTCAATGGCAAACTAATTTTGTGTTTTGTGTATATCCAGATTGACAGTTATTTTGTTTTGTATAGTGTGACGGACAAGGCATGCATGTCATGAGTTGTGTCTTCTACACTAGTGCAGGAGCTACAAATCAAAGCTGGAATGCACTGCACTGTTTTTGAAGGAACATATATACATTTTCTCGTCTGTTCCCTGGCCGAGTTTGAGATGAAGTGCTAACGTGTTACTTTTTCACTTTGCTCCAGCCGTGATTAGCCAGGATGTAACTCTGAAGGTAATTTTATAGAGTCTTGTGTTTCATACTTCTCTCTGCCAATGAAAGTGAGAGCAGAGTCAAGGAGTCTGAAAAGAAAAACACAGATTGTACTTACTATTCTCAGCGTTAGTTACCAAAAACAACTTCTCAGACAAGAGTTCCATGAAGAAATTCAGTTCTACTTATATCGAGTAACCAGATTTTACACCATCTCTCTGATGGGATTCTATGATGGTAAATGTTAACCATCCTCTTCCAGCTGAATTCATGTTGTAACCATCATTTTATGTGATTCCTGGCTGCACTGAGTGGGATAAATCTGGAACGGGGTATTTGTGTTTCATTATAGTGTCTGCCAAGGAGCTGGTGAAGACCTGCTGTGAGACAGGGGAGAAATGGGCTTCGGCTAATGGTCACTGCAACAACATGGAGCCACCCACAAAAGATAGGCGCTCCATCTGCTGGTAAGGCCATTATTAAACGCCCATTCATGTCATTTAGCTCTGCACACTGTAAATCATCTTAAATAGTCTTCTGTGGAAAGGTTGTCTGTTTATCTACTTCATTCGACTTATCGAGGAGAATGTGAAGATGTGTAGATGAGTAAAGGGACATAATGACAAAGAAATGTTCATATTTTATTATTATTTGTTTTTTTGCAAGATTACGTTTAAGTTCACTTTTTGTTGCAAACACTGAATGATCCTCAGAGCTAAATTATCAAGATGTAGATTTCAAGTTCTCCATAGATTTATAGAAACTTGAAAACAAATTTCAGTCAGCTCTGTAGCAGCACTCGTGGGAGGAATAGCCAGCCCACTCAGTGTTGCAGTAGGGCCACAGTCCAAACACTTCCTCAGTTCTTTCTGCTTTTCTCTGCCAGGACTGCCCAACAACAGTGCTGCCTCGGTTCCCTGGGAGAAAGTCGGTGTTTGGCTGGAATGAATGTAGCTAGAGCGGGAGATACGTGTGAAGAGGATGCCAGCAATAAATGTGGGATCGATTCCTACAAGGCAAGAATTTGTGACCAGATACCACGGCAAAGGGCAAACACAGTTCACTGGGCTCACAGTCAAACTTAATGACATTGTAAATTTCAAATTAAGCCTGAAACAGGCTAAATTTGCAATTGATAAACGCATTAGTCACAGTAAATTGAAATCACGTGTTGATGGTTCTAGTCTGAAGCCAGTGAGAGTCTCCCTGCAGTGTTTGAGCAACTTTATGCTATATATCTCCTCTGAGCATTACCGCTGTTGTGCCAATTCCCTGCTATTAAATTACCTTATTTAATTTAGGTAAAATGATTTAGGCCTAACTACAAGTGAACATTCCCACAGTCCTAAAGCTTTGCAATCTTCAAGGCAGACCTCAGCAATTGGAAACGCCGGATGTCAATTGTTTGGCCTCTTTAAAATGGTGGAAACACGGGCTGATAATTGATGTGGTAAAACAGTAGCAGTGGTGGACATGAAGCCATTATGGCAGTTAATGAGGGGTCATGATGACGGTGTAACTCTATCGTTTTCGTCCAGATTCCCAAAGCCACTATAGTGCCATCTGACCTGTGTTTTGAAGGATACTTACTCACCTTCCCAGAGCCCCTTGAGCAGCATGGGGTCATTGTCAACTCTATGCTGCAGTGCAGCTGTTAAATATTGGCTTTCATCACCTTCCTGTTGGACCCCTGTAGATTTAGTAATATTATGCCATTTACTGCCACGGTACATCACGGTGGTCATTACTTCAGTTTTATGTTTCGCTATGGTCCCATGCACAGCCACAGGGAGACAGAGAGAGAGGCTGTGAGCAGGGGGAGAGTTGCCCCAAATTCGTGCTTGTAACTATCAAAGTTCAATTCAGCCTCTGTGAGGCCATTTAGACACAGTGGTACTTTGAGTAAAACAAACATCAGCATGCTGACATATTCACAATGACAATGCTAACATGCTGATGTTCAGCAAGTCATGTTTACTGTGTTCACCATGTTAGTTTAATGTGTTAACATATTAGAATTAGCTAATGAGCACTAATGGCAAAATGCAGCTCTTGCTGATGGGAATGTCATTAGATTTGCAGGTATTTGGTCAAAAAAGTCAGTAATATTCTGCCAAAACCATGATGTCAAGTGCAAAATTTTGTAGCAATAGATATATGTATTATACAGCAATACAGCTCTAGATACTTCAGCGTGGCTAAAAACAGACCTTGCATACTGTATGGGCCACTGAGTGTAGTCTTTTTCATAAAAGGGAGCTACTCTACCAAGCTACATAATCCATGATTACATGTGTTAAGACTGACTGCGTGTAACCTGCAGGAGTGCTGTGACTGCTGCTCTCTGGGGCTGCAGTTCCGCAGTGAGGGACATCGCTGTGAAGCCCACCAGTACCTGGGGTTTCACTGCAGACACGTCTTTCTAACCTGCTGCGAGGGGGAGGGGAGCAAGGCTGGGAATCAAGGCGACTGGCACTCTGTCAGAGAGAGGCCCGCTCTCAACTCCACTCCACCACCAGAAAAAGGTACTGTAAACAAATATTCACACACACAAATACTAAAATGTTAATGCATAGCATTCTCCATGCCAAGGGTTGTTGTTGTGTTGGGACATGTCATACACACCGGTGCCAGGGAAAAGTACTGATTTAAACCAAAGACAATCAATTTTCTTTATACTAGCTGTTCAAAGGAAGCATTGTAGTAAGATGCTTCAACCCTGATGAAAAATGACGCACCTCACTGGCCTTCCAGAACAAAGTATAATAGCCCACATCACGCCTGTACTGTATTTCTAAGAGATCTACTACCTGTCTGCCTGCCCGGCATTACATTCCATCTTTTTTTTTAGTAAACCACTGTGTTTTTTGGTAGTATACTTGCACTGATTTGGTTTGGCTTGTACAAGGTGAAACATTTCAAATTGGTGTTAAAACAGCGTGATCTGCCTTGTGGTCTGATCAGGTGCCTTTCATTAGGATGTCTTTTTTTATGGTTACTTAGTCAAGTTTTTATTCCAAAGTGATGACAAACATTTGGCCCATCCCATTTGGTATTAGACACGCTATTAGACATCCTTAGGTAACAAACGCAAAGCAAAAACAACGACATTAATCAAAACATTATACGTCTACATTGTTCTTTTTTGCAACTTGTATTGATGCATTATGTGCATCTTGTTATGTTGCATGTGTATTTTTAAGAGCCCATCTTAGGAAGGGCGTTGCTAACTTGCTTAGGATATGAATAATGTGGTATGTGGCAGTGGTTGATGCTGTGTATTTATCCCTGCAAAAATAAACATCACAATAAAAACAAACAAGAAAAGAAATCCTCCTTATCATTGTGGCCATTATGTCTTCCCTGTAATTATTATATTTAAAAGGTGTTTTCCTTTAGGCAAAGCAATATAACGCTCTTCATCTTTTTATGCAGTTTTATATCATTATACAGTTTTTTTGCCTGTGAGAACAACAGTCTCTGTGTGCTGTAGTATCTGACAGCCCGTACCCTAAAGAGGCCTTCTCCATTGGTGAGGAGCGGGATGGGGAAAATGCAGTAGAGGGACCTGTTGAGGTGGAGGACATGGATGAGTGCTTGATATATGAGGGCAACATCTGCCACCACAGATGTGTCAACACGCCAGGCTCTTTCCGATGTGAGTGCTTCCCTGGATACGTGCTGCAAGAGGATGCTTTCACTTGTGCACAAGGTAAAGTGAGATCAGCAATCTTTATATTGTCACACAGTGCTAGCAGACATTTCAGGTGATGTAATGGCAACTGGAAAGTGACTCTCTGTGCCATTTGCTCTTTGAAATATGATTTACAGCCCGCATTCCTGTCAGGAAGACCGCATTTGTTGTAATTTGTCTACACATTCACAGTGTATTATTTTCCTGCTCTGTTTGAGTTCCTTCCTGTCTGCAAGCCCTGATACTGCCTAATAATAGTTATTTTAATCACACACTAACATCCTTTTCCTGGACTGACAGCAGTGCTCAACTGATCACATCTCTGCTGTTGTCAAAAAGCTTTTCAGCTTTTCACTATTTGAAAATCACTTTTTGCACAAACTGAAGGTCTCTTTAGAAAAGTATTTTCAGGTAATGCTGTATGACATTTCTGCAGTATACCAGACTTTAATCAACAGTGGCTTTCACCAACACAAGCCTGTCTCAACAGGATACTAATGCCAGAGCTCTCAGCAAATTACAGTGAGGGATGGGGCACACTAATAAAACCAAATGTTCGTCTGCAGGCAATGTTTTTTCCTGTCTCACCTTCACTGCTATTACAACTTTCATCTGTAGCTACCAGCCTCATATTGTCGGATGAAAATGCAGGAATTGCACGAGGTTTAAGCCTCTAACTAAGACCGCAGTAGATGGAGAGGTGGAATTCTTGATTACAGTGTAATTCATTGCTCCTGTGATGAGATTCTTGATGTTTCTGCAGAGACGGTGGATGACGAGAACACGCTGAAGGAGGATGACAGAGCAGGAGTGGAGCCCACTTCACTGCTTCCGCCTCCCACTGAGATCCCTGTCCCACTCAACCCCTGTGAAGGTTAGAAATGTGCAGCTTAATAAGGGGAGAGGAAGCATGCAGGCCTGACAGCCCACAATGAGCACTTTCATTCATCCTTACGTATTAATCAGAGCCTGGAACACGCATCTTTATGTAGTCAAATCTGTTTAGATGAAAAGCCAGCACAGGCTGCTATAGATTGACATGTTGTTATTTCAAACTCACCCTTTCCATGAAATGTAATTGTGCTGCAAATGTCAAACACAAGTTGTGAGATGGTATCAAAGGTTAGTTTGTTTTCAGCATCAGCCACTCATTCTCATGAGTTCTCCATATTATAATCTGTGCAGGGTCACATTTTGTTTCTCTTGTTTGGTTTCCATGACACCAGGGTGGAGGTCTATCACACTGTGGGCCAAATATAGGAAACACAATATGACCAGGTCAGGGATCAACCTGGAAAAAGGAAATGAGCAAACGGCAATACAGTAAATAGTGTACTTGTCTCCCATCCAAGGCCACAAAGCTCTCCTCTGTTTCACCCTAAATTCTGTTGTGTGGAGCAGTAATACAATTAATTTTATTTGACCTCACTAAACAGTATCATTTTCAGGAAACAACCCATGTGAGCAACACTGCACCTCAGTGGGCAGAAGGCAACAATGCTCCTGTTTCCCAGGATTCTCCCTTATGGCCGATGAACACTCCTGTGAGGGTAAGGAACTAAAACTTAGTTATAATACTGAAAACAGTTTCTTACATCACACCAGGGGTAGCAAATGGAAATTCTGCGCAATTATAGAACTGAATAATGGCTTACAATTTAAGCCCTCATTTCTTTTTCTGCCAGAGGAGTTTTGTTCCAGAGAGTTTCTTGGCAAGACTGTCTGCCACTGATTTGTCTTTTTCTCTAATCAGCGCCTCTAGATTTGCAGAAGAGATAGCGCCCTAATCCCCGTCACTCTCAGCAACACATTGTGATGTAGACAGTATATATAAATGGTAGACGTTCTTTTCATCTTGTTCATCATCAGTCTCTAGGAGAAGGATCATCCCACATATCCATGCATTATCACGATATATCTCACCAACTGCACCCCAGATATACCCTTCATTTACACTCAGAATGGTTTTGGACTGTGTGTTTTATCATGAGGCTGATCAGCTACTGCTCTATGTGCCTAAGCTGTCTCCCTGGGGATATATCTTTAAGTTAAGATGTAACCACTGGTCTGTCTCCTGCTTGACAGCAGCAAACTGTGGCAGTGACACAGAGAGCGGCTCAGTATGGTGACAAATTTCTCATTGTGTGGATGTTATACCCAGTGGCCTTGCCCCTAATCTCTCTCCCAGAGGAGGGCCCCGACCTGTCTCTTTAATCTGCTTCTAACAGCTGACTGTTACACACAGACCACAGCTCAGTTGATGGTATTTTTGTATCTCCTTGTCTGCTTTTTGTCAACCTATTCATCCAGAGTCTTCTACTGTGCACTTTTCATTATTTACTCTCTTTCCTAACACAGACACAATTGTCTTTTATTCTTTTTCCAAACATCCAGACATAAATGAATGTTTGTCCACACGTGCCTGCCAATTGAATGAGCGCTGCGTGAATACCGCTGGGAGTTATGTCTGTCAGAGACTGATCACCTGTCCCCCAGGACACCAGATCAAGAACGACATTTGTGAAGGTACACTAAACCTTATCAGCATCAAAGCCTTAAACTTCCACCCACAGTGAGTAAGTTGTAAATACCAGCTGGAGAGCATTTGTATTACTGCAGGTTCACAATGTAAGGAAAGCACATTGTTCAGGCGAACAATTACTTTTACCACCCTTGAGAATAAGTATTGAAAATCGAGAATTAGACTTTTTTTAAATTCTTCACATCAAGAGGTCATGTAATTTCACATGAGAGCACACAGATAAGAAGGAGTAATAAGAAATATTAGCCCACAGAGCAAGGTTGTTATAGTCAACTAAAATCTACACTTTAATTTTATTGGTACTGGGATGTCTACAGGACTGTGAGTGAGTGTGTTTGTATTGTAATTCTTATTCTGAACTTATTCAGTTCTGTCCTTGACAAATACCCCCATATCATAATAAACTAAAACTAAACTGAAACTAATAAAAACAAACATAAAATGTTTTTAAACAATAAAAAACTAAACTGAAATGAGCAAACCGACTATGGAAACTAACTGAAACTAAACTGAATTAAAAATGAAATAAAAATAAAAAATAATGAAAAATAAAAAAGCTATAATAACTGTGCCACAGAGGTATTTCCATAGAATTTGCTTGCTTTTAACTGTCAGTATTAAGAGCTGCCTAGCTTGTCTTTCTGGGTGGCTTCCAACTTTGAGATGCAATAGTAAACCTCCCAATACGTCTCATTATTTCCATGCACCATAAATTGGGCCTGTGCAGCAGTCACATTCATAAAGCAGCAGTGTTCAGGAAGAAGGACCCCTAAGATGAGTTTTAGATGTGCTGTAAGGGCTGTTTGCCACTGCAGATGCGGTTTCTGTGGGCTTAGGCAAGGAGACACAGCTAATCTGCAGCTACTTGTGAACTTAAAGAATGTTCAATCAGGCAAAATGAGCAGCATTTAACAAGAAAGTATGTTTAACAGTAAGCCCCTAAACAGCTGCCAGTTCAAGTGCAGACTGAAAAAAACAGCTTTGTGCCATGCAACCTATTCCCTGTTCATGACTTACTAAGAGACTGAAATGAAGTGCTCCTTTTGCCTCCTCTCACATATGAAGCCAAGTCACCACAAAAGGAGGAACTGAATTGTGTCCCCCTCCCCTCTCTAAACAGCATGCCTCAGTTAATACATTGAAGTAATTATGCTTATTTTATCTTATTCACAATGTTCGCTGTCTTCCTAACCCAGTATGTTCAACAATCTTTGGTATTTTGCATCAGACTGACACATTGTGCCAAAAATGACATCCTTTCTTATGTCATAGCTCAATAAAACCAAAATGGCCAGATGTCTTACTTAGCTGTCCTTACAGGTCATCAAATTTAGACATTTTTCACAATCAGATACAATCCATATGATGCCTGTATATCCGTGGTTAAAATGTAATTATGAATTGCTAGTAGCTAACGTACTAATATTTTTTTTAAACTCAGTAACTCCTGGCAACATTACACTTCCTGTTCACATCATCCAAAGCATGGTGGGGGTATTAGGGTCAAAACAGATGAACCATAATTGTACTGTATAAGAAAACAATAACAACAACAAAACGTGAGGAGCGACAAAATCTGATGTACATTTCTATTGAAAGTTTTTTATGCTTTGACAGTACTTATGCAGAGAATGACCTGACCTACTGATGTTTAGAAGATATAATGTTCATTATCTTATCTATCTTTAGTTTGTTAGCGTGCAAACATTTGCTAATTAGTAAAGTACACAAAGTAGGGCTGAGGTTGAAGGGTTTTGGAGGTGTTTGGTCATAAATTATAGTATTGGACAAGTTAAACATTTGATTTGATGATTGTGCTAGATGAAAGGTCAGAGGATCCCCACGTTTATTACAATTCATCCAGAGAGGGCCATGAAAGTATGTACTCAATTTCATGGCAATCCGCCCAACAGTTGTAGAGCTATTTCATCCAAAACTACAAACATCGACCTCATGGAGGTGCTAGAGGAAAAGTTTGCCCATCGCCAAAGTCATTGTCTGGGAATCAGGAATCCCTGCAGTTTCATAGCAATCCATCCAATAGTAGAGATATGTTAATCTGGCTGAAGTGACCAAACAAAAGACTGACAATTTCCCTGCACAGAGCCATGCCATTAGACATGGCTAAAAATCCGAAACAACTTAAAATTTCTTAAGCTTTTTTGTTCATAAAAATTATACATGCATTGTATTATGATGGTATGGTATGATGGAAATAACAATATATAGCTTATCTTGTTAAAGTCACTATGCCTGTAAATAAAGAGAGTGAAAACAGGGGAAAGGTTCAAGAGGTTAAATTCTCACATAAAGCAACTGGACTCTTTGTAGGTTCCTTGTTGCCTTCGCTGGGAGGGAGGTCACTGACAATTTCTCCCACATTTATCCTCCCAGCTTTTCTCTCTTTGTCTACATCGGTGTCAGGCTCACTCAGCTCTTGCCGACTCTGCCAGGCTTGTGTCAGGAGCAAGATGCTCAATCACTATCTGCTGTTTAGAGACCTACCGTATATCAGCAGGGCTGCCTGCCAGAGCTGATTTAGGTCTCTATACGGCAATTACAGAGGTGAAATCCTGCAAGCCTGCTTGCACAAGGCACTCATGCATTATGCACACTTGTGCCCTCGTACACACACACACACACGCACACACACACACACACACACACACACACACACACACACACACACACACACACACACACGCACATTTTGTATTCTTTTGAGATTCTGATTTCCCTGCAGCTTTGGTTCGTACTATGACAACAGATGTGGAAGGTTGATTGACAGGAGGTAAATCCCTTAGTAGACAGGTGTTAGAAGCCTCTGGGGGAATATACTGCAATGCTCATTCACACACTGCACGGGAGGACTACTGCATGTGACTTCTGCTCATTTGACTCATTAGATGTATTCATCTTCTTGAAATTATAAACTGATATTTAGGCCATTCTGGTTGTAATGAGTGATTGGTATAGATAAGATTCTTAAGTTGTAATACAATTCTTTTTCTTTTTATTAACCTCTGGAGTACTGACAGGGAGAGCTTTATGATAGATGAACTGCAGTAAATGTGAGTACCTGTACAATCTGCCATTGAACCACAGTGCCATCCAGTGATAAAATGTGGCATTACATGCATACCATACCATGCTCTACTGTAGTGATTAAAACATAGTGGATTGTTAGACTGAAACTAATAATGTTTCATTTGTGCTTTATTTGCAATTAATCATTTCTTCAGTCCTCAGTAGCTAAGTTATTCATCTTCTTCCTCAGATATCAACGAGTGTGAGCAGCAGAGCCATAACTGTGGACCTGGCTTTGAGTGTGTGAATACAGTGGGCTCGTTCAGGTGCAACCCCAAACCTCAATGTCCTGTGGGCTTTAACCAGGAAGCACAGGGCAACTGTATGGGTAAGGGAAATCACTTTTTTACTAAGATGATGATTTAATTGCTAATGTCCTCTAAAGCAAGGTTGTACTGAGTTTTGGGCAAGGGATTTAGGGCAAAATGTATTGATGTTTTCATTCAATTATACATATTTTTCTGGTTTTAAGTGTGTTACTAGAGGACATAAATGGATAGTGGTTGTTTGGGGTAAAGAAAATAGTCATTCAGTATGAATATGTCTCATTGTGTAAGTGTTAAGCAAGCAAACAAGGGGCCTCAGTCTTATTTTACACAACAGTTAGTATTGTTTTTCTTTCCAGGGAAAGAACCAGGCCAAAGACAAAAGTCCCCCACTGGTGAATCATAGTCCGTGTAGACGCATGGTTGTATACTGTGAATCAGCACAGCAACAGTGACAGAGGGGTTAAATGCCACACACACAGGAGATCAGAGAGGTTGCTGTTAGGGGCTGCAGAGGGGTGGATAAAAGCCAATCCTCTGTCCTACTCCAGTACAAACTGATGCTGTGGAATTAGCCCCCAGGGGCAGGAACTGGGGCATGTCGAGGCAGCCAACGCCCCTGTTAAAGAAGTGTAAAAGAAATGCTCTGAGAAATGAGAAAATCGAGAAAATGTCAAACACACACATACAAGGAAGTTATTCAAGGGAATGTGACTGTGTGATGTGTGTTTGCTTTGATATCACAGTCAGTGTGGCTAAAGAGCTGCTCTCTGGTCTCTCATGCCCTGTCTTTGTACCTTTGGGTCTTCCCTCTTCTTCTGTCTTTCTTCATCTTCATCTCTCTCCCTTTTTCAACAGACATTGATGAGTGTGGCACTCTGGCCCAGCCTTGTAGCCTGGCATTTAACTGCATCAACACAGTGGGATCCTACATGTGCCAGAGGAAGATAATATGTAGCCGTGGCTATCATGCCAGCCCTGAGGGATCCAGATGTATTGGTATGATTTGTAGTTTTTACACTTGAAGAATGTGTAATCTGATGATTTGATATACAGACTTTGAGGACATTGTCAGCAGATGATGTGATACAGGCAAAAGAGGTTAAGCTATGAATAATGTAATTTTGTTGTGTCTTTCCAATTAGGTAAAGAAAATATTACATGTAAGAAGATGGTCAAAAAACTAATAAGATTCATTCATGAAGAAGTGGCAGCTGATGTCCTTGTCATTTTACTGATCTCTTTACCATTCATGTGTGTCTTGTAGATGTGGACGAGTGTCAGAGCAGTCTACATCGATGTGGAGAGGGCCAGCTGTGTCACAATCTTCCTGGATCCTATCGTTGTGAATGCCAGACAGGCTATCAGTATGACTCATTCAGGAGGATGTGTGTAGGTATGTTGGGCATCATACACATCATCATTTAGAAGAAGTACACATGTCAAAGTTTTAAGAGAAAATAAGTGGAGCTTCATATATTTTGCCTTTACCCTCCTGTCTCTCAGTTTCCTACTCATTCTGTTCCCTCCTTCCCTTCCTTTCTCCCTTCATCACTTTTGCACTACTGTACAGCCACCCCTCTTCTTTGTCTGCCCACTCTTCTTTGTCTGCTTTACTCTGCTGCTCCTGTTTATTATTCTGCGGTAGGAGAGCCACTGCTGCTGTTTCCCCAGCTCTGGCTTCTGCAGTAGCCACTGGGCCGATCACGTCTCCTGCTGCAGAGGACTGTGTTCTGCCTCTGCTGCTGCTGCTCCCTCTGTTTGTGATTCACTGTGTTGTGACTCTCATGATAATGGACTCTGTTCAACTGTTTAGACTATCAGCAGGCAGCTGGTCTCCTGACATCACACTCTTGTTGACATCCACACAATCACGCACAGGCATGCACACGTACGCGGTCGTGTAGGGCAGCAAACCCACTCATGCTTGGTTGCACATGTGCACTTGCACACGTGGGTGCAAACTGAATGCAATACACACTTACAGGGGTATGATGACACTGCTTCTTCCTCTCAGATGTAAATGAGTGCTGGCGCTACCCAGGCCGCCTGTGTGCCCAGACCTGTGAGAATACCCCAGGCTCCTATGAATGCTCGTGTACCTCTGGCTTCCGCTTATCCAGCGATGGCAAGAACTGTGAAGGTGTGTGTGCATTGATGTCGGCCTGCATGGGTGTGAGAAAGAGTGTGTGCATCCATGTGTACATGTTGGTGCATGTGGTTGTATGTTTTTGTGAATCTGCAGGTGAAAATATGCCTCTGTGTGTGTATGTATGTGTTTGTTGGTGTACCAGTGTGTGCATGAACAGAGAGCAGTTCAGCAGATTCTTAGACTGTGTTAATATTAAAGCTGGCCACTGTACAGCTTATTGCTGAAGAGGGACGGTAGTTAGTAGTGTTAGTGTATTTAGCTGTACATCATGCCATGCCTTCAAGCACAAACCAGTAAAAACATAATTGGCTTAATAACAACATCTTGTTTATATGTTAGGATAAATACATTTGAAATCCTTTGATGAATCGTGACAGTAATGAGCTCTAACCTCTAATCTCCAGATGTGAATGAGTGTTTGGCCAGCCCATGCAGTCAGGAGTGTGCCAACATCTATGGTTCCTACCAGTGTTACTGCAGACAGGGATACTACCTCAGGGAGGATGGGCACACCTGTGAAGGTGGGGCACACTCCATTACAAATCACAAATACCGTATTTATACCAAACGTATGTTCAGACACGTTTATGAATCAATTGCACATGATTTACTTCCTCCTTGTCGCCCAGACATTGACGAGTGTTCCCAGAGCATCGGCCATCTATGCACCTATAAGTGTGTGAACGTTCCTGGCAGTTACCAGTGCGCTTGTCCTGAATATGGATACACCATGTCTCCAAATGGACGCTCATGCAGAGGTGAATGTCCCTCTAAAACCAAACAAACAAAAAAAATGCATGCACCCACTGTACTGTAGCTGCTTCAATGCAGTGTGTCAAGTGAGTTCTACTCTGAAATAGATTTTAAAAATGTCTCTGCACCCATTTAACGCTATATAGAGTGTGTAGTAATTGTTCTGCTCAGATAAATATAATTGGTACTTTTACAGTTGCTCAGTAATTACACAGGCTATAAAACTTTATTGGACTTAAAATCTTGTCTCGCTAATTTGAATTTTTTACTTGAGCAGTTTTTCCCCACATGGACTTTTTTTTTGCGTGTTTCAGCAATGAGGCTTTACCTCGAAGTTCAATTGTCCTGTGACTAATACACATTTCCTCAGCTCCAGGCAGTAAACCAGCCCTTGTGCATTATCTGTGTGTTTTAGATATTGATGAGTGTATGACAGGGGCCCATAACTGCTCTCTAGCTGAAACCTGCTACAATATCCAAGGAGGCTACCGCTGCCTTTCTCTCAACTGTCCACCAAATTACCGCAAAGTGTCCGACACGTAAGTGATCCAATCAGTTTAAAACCTATATCGATGTTCAATATGATGCCTTCCAAAAGGTTGACATTCTGTTATGGTTTTGTGATTCACACAAGGTTGAATAATTCTGTGATCTCATTTTTTGAAGGTTTTCCTTTAAAAACAAGAAGAGAGATACATAAAAATGCATTTATTTATATATTTAAAATAAATCAGGACAAGTCATAAATCAGCTTTAGAAACATGCATGTTCTTTGTTTGGTTTATAACTCTTTTTGGAGATATATGCTTCTTTATTGTTTCAGTAAGTATTAATGTAGAGAGAATTAATGGGAATTATTATCGCTTACCTTCTCTGACCTTCCCCTAATAAGACAATAAACACACTTTATGTCTTATGTGAAAACTTTAAATTGCCCTGCTGTTGAAAAGAGGTACACAAATAAAGTAGCCTTTCCTTACCTTGCCTTCCTTGTGCCCCTTGTAGGCGGTGTGAGCGGATCAGCTGTCCTAACTACCTGGAGTGTCAAAACTCTCCTCTGAGAATCACCTACTACTACCTCAGCTTCCAATCCAACATCGTCATCCCTGCTCAGATCTTCCGCATTGGACCTTCCCCTGCCTACTCAGGAGACAACGTCATCGTCAGCATCACACAAGGAAATGAGGAAAACTACTTCAGCACCCGGAAGCTGAATGCCTATACAGGTGCTGTGTACTTGCATCGACAGGTTGAGGGTCCAAGGGATTTCTTAATAAATGTGGAGATGAAGCTTTGGAGACAGGGGACGTTTACCACTTTCCAGGCCAGGATCTACGTCTTCATCACAGCCAACCCACTCTAACTGTTAGAGATGTGCTGTGGCTACTACAGAACTTAATTCAGTTCCAGAGGACTCATATCACTATTTAACAATGTCATAAGGTATACCACTGTCTGTGTTCGATGATTGGTTTGAGTAGTTAATCTCGCTTATGTTGAAGTAAATATTAAAACGTTGCTGTAAGAGGAGTGGAATATTCAGAAAGAAACTGTCATTTTATGTTTTCAAAGCAATTGCCTGAAAACCCTGTAATGTCAAATTAATGTTTTCTTTAATTTCTCACTCAAATTGCGAATAGGCAGTACATGTTTATTTTCAAAAACCCATTCAAAGCTAAATCCAAAACTTTAGAGATGCAAAGACATTTATTACATCACGAGAATAAAACCATTTGCCATTGTCTTGATTGTCTTAAGCAGATGTGAGTAAACCAGAAAAATGATAACAGGCAACATTTAGCTTGTACCCAGCTCTTTTTGCCATACTGAAAGACTTTTATCCCAGTTTTCTGTTATCAGATGATGATGTATAATTTGATAACATGGTGGTAAAAGCCGAAGACATTTTTTTGTAAGAGTTCCCATTACAGTGCCTAAACAACTTTGTCTCTTTTCTTCGACCCTGTGCTGCTGTTTTTGTTTTGTCTTTGAAGTATTTTATATTATATAATTTTATATTACTCTATATGGTGTATTTTTTGTATCAGACACATTATGGATGGATGTATCATATTTTTCATGCTAGATTCATAAACTGCAAAGTATTTTAGTAAAATATTTTAAAAACACCAATGTGGTTTCGGGATTATTGGCTAATTTTATTTATTAGGAGGAATATTAATTTGTGTTTTTGTTTCAAAATAATTACATATATTTCACCTGACATACTTGTTATGCACCAATTCTTGTCACTGTATACAGTGAACATTATTCCTCAGTGAAGTTGTTAAAGTATATAATCCATTCTTGTCAGGGCATGTCACAGTAAATATCCATGCCTATTTACATACCTGTTCACACCTTGCTAGTGAGCTCAACATGAGTGTCATCCATCAACACATGCCTGTTTGACATGCACACACACATATATTTAATGATGGCTAATAAAAGCAATGATCATGTGTTGTTTGATTTCTGAAATAAAATTATTATAGTCTTATATTTATGTTTAAGGTCTCATAAACTCTAAGTTCAACCCCATCTACCATAGGTTGTAACATAGAAAGAGTTACACTCCCACCTACAGGATGAATGCAGTCCTACTCCCTAAACTTTTGGCTTTCTTCCAGACAACACTAGTGTCTTATACAACAGAACGATCTCAAAAAAACATAAGGGAATATGTACCAAATCCTCATTAATAGTGAGGATATTTTGAACCAGCTAAAGTATATAAAGGTTTTATAAACAAATTAGTAAAGATGATGTTCTTTTTAATAAGCTATAAGCTGATCTTCTGCCTCTGCTCAGAGTTCGGTGAACCTCCTGGACCCGCTGTAATCATCGGGAAGGGTGTGGGTGTCCCTGTGACAGCTGTATTAATGCATGTTGCACATCCAAACAGAGCTGCTCGCCAGTTTTCTGGTCTCTGAGATGAGTTATACTGTTGAAGGTCATTTCAACAAAAGAGACGTATTTCTGCAGTCATTTTAGTCGCTCACTCCTTGTTTGGTGAAAACAATAATATCTGGTTAGTCCCAGTAGAATGAAGTAAACATTCAGTACAACTTTCTCATTCTTTGGGTCTTAGACGTTCCTCCTGACATAACTCATAATAATAGCTATGTGTGTGTGACTGACTCAAGCTTTCACACACACCCAGTGACTGAGATGCCACTCTTGGTATGTACAATACATAATGAACCCTAGAGCTGTGATTGATGCCTCTTTCCCCTAATTAGCTTTATCTGCTCCTCAAGATTAGGTGGTGCTGTGTTTCAGGGACAGTGAATCACGCATGGCAGACAGGGGAAGATACACACATCTATTATTGGTTTAGAGACACTGACAGGAAGTTCTGAAATCTCCTGGACAAAGGAAGAGGGACTGTAAGAGGGTTATAGGACGGGATGGTTACAGAAGAGACAGATAGGGCCATTAAGCCACTGTTTATCATTAGGCCTGCTGTGTAGCGCCAGTGTTTGTTAAATATACCCTGATAGTATGTCCTATTGAACCAATCTTGAGGTGAATTACACATATGCCTTTAATGATATGATTCTGCAGAATTTTTGCATTAAATTCATTTATCTTTGGTTGCAGGCGATCTGAGGGACGATTTGGGAAAATTAGGGTTTAGGATAATGAATGGGCAATGTTCTCCCTGCAGTCAATAGTAAATGATGGCATGCCCTTGAGCAAACCACTCAACCCACATTGCACTCTGGGGGATGCTTTTTTGGGTGAAAATTATTGGGCCAAAACTGACTTAATGTGGGACATCAGCGCACTAAGAGTTAACTTCACCCAGTACCCATGGAACCACCCAAGACTATGGATTGTTTTCACCCAGTGTCAGTGTTATTTTTTTAAACTTTGAAAATTCTTCATCATTTTAGCTCTTTTTAAACTTTCATGTCAGTGTTTGTTACTGATTGTAAATAATATGTGTATCTTGAGCCGTTTTTATCTACAGAGGGAGTGGGTCCTCATTGGGTTGAACCACCGGGCCTTTCAGGTTTTTCACGAGTTTCGCAGCCACTGTAGTTTCTCCTACACGCTTGGTTGAGAGTGGTTTCAGTGGTTTCAGTTGGTTGCAATCTGCAGTCTCACTGCTAGATGCCACTAAATCCTACAAACTAGTCATTTAATATTAAAAATAACCCTAAGAGTGGGTCAAAACAAAATGTTGGTACTGGGTAAAGTTTGCCTGACTGTTTAATTTTTTGGCCCAGTGCTGAAGTCCAAGTATGAAACTGTGTAGCATGTTATTCCATATCTCTCTCTTACTTCTTGTTTCCTGTCATCTTTCTCCTTTACACTGTTTAAGGGCATGAAATGCCCCAAAATAATAATAATAATAAAGAAAGTAAAGTCAATCTTATAGCCCAATATCATAAGTCACAAATTTGCCTCAAGGGGACTCTGCCTCTGTAGAGCATTCAACACCCACTATCCTAAGACCTTCGATTCAAATAAGGAAAACTCCCCAAAAACCCTTGATCAGTGAAAAAACGAATTGGAAAAAGCCTCAGGAAAAGGACAGAAAAAGGATCCGTCTTCCAGACAAACAGACATACAATTAATGTCAAGAAAGTAATTCCAATAAAAACCATTCCCCTTTAAGTCTTATTTTATTGTATTATGCTGAGACATTCTTTGCTGAGAGTTTTCTGTTGAATTTGAATTTTTAATATGATTTTTTAGCGCCATGAACAAAATCACATTCACCTCCATTGTATAAGGTAGGGAGCAGAAATCTTACAGACTGACAAAACCCTGGCAAATAAACTCAAAACTATCTGCATGCATATTAGGTGAGTGAGAAGATCTCTTTGTAATTTGAACAAACTGATTTATAATCATGTATTCACAGATACAATGAAGAATAAGAAATAAAAGGCTTTGTTATTTGTCTCTATGTGACTACTGTCAATCTGCACTGGATACAAAAATTAAAAAATGATGATGATGGTGATGATGATGATGATACACAAAATCTAACTACTCTTAAAAGGCCACTTTAGGAGGGAAAAAAACACTGCAAGCGACTGTACAGCATGTGTCTGGATGGAGGTCGGCGCATAGGCGGGGTGGGGATGGAGTGTGATGAGAGGAGGAGGAGGAGGGTGGTGTTACAGACACGCTTGTCTTTGATAGCTCAGGTGGTCATCACCTGAGGGGGAAACGAGCGTTAATGGGCATTCTCAGCAGCAGACAAGCACAGGCTAGCGCTCCCTCTTCCCTGGCTGCCATAAACAGGGGGAAGTATGCATCATTAGATTAGGCTGAGGCTAACTACCCGCAGTCAAGCTCACTTCGTACAGTAGCTAGCAGTGTGTAGAGTGCACAGACTCAACCTCCGGCCTCCCACTGCTCAGTGTGATTGGCTGGGAAGGAAGTGGGTCTTGAAGCACAGCAGAGTGATTGGTCAATTTGTGGAGTGATTACCTGCACCACAGAGAGAGTTATTATTGTAGATTATGTTATGTGTCAACATTTCTATTATAAGCAATTATATTGACAATAGAGTATGATGATTGATCATTGACAGAAGGCCTTAATTACATGAGGAGACAATGGAATTGCCTATTAGAGTTCAGTCTGTGAAAAACCTAATAGCCAAGCTTATTAAAAGGTAGAACAACCCTGCAGCAAATGATTTAAATGGGTGGGTCACATTTATCTTGGCCTTGGACTTGGGCATAAAAGACCCAAGGCAAGCACAGAGAAAATAGTTTAAACAACGACAGGATTTTTATAAATTACTCATAACAGAAAAGTACACAGCTAAAGATGATGTTTGTCTTACTGTAACGCCTATGGGAACAGAAAAAATAAGCAAAAAGTGAGTTGAAAAACAGACAGAAAGACAGCAAGAGAGGAATTTGCCTGAGAGGAGAATGAAGGAAGGTATGTAAGTTTGCCTGTCACTTTGAGGTGCCCGATAGCTCTGCCTAGGTGTCATCTTATCACATTTCAGCAGATATTGCACCATATCCCTAATATTCCATCTTTCTGAATTGAATTAATCAAACTGCATGCACAGAAAAGTCTAACTAAGCTCTTAAATCCGTCATTTTGCCTCCAGTCGGAGAAGGCCAGAAGGAAAAGATCCAAATTAGAGTATGAGATTTAGCCCCGAGGGCAGATACAGAGGAAAGCGAGGCTAATCCTTGCAGGAGTGGATTGACCCGGGGGGAAGCTCTTTGCGAGGCTCCCTGGGGTGGGAAGATTTACTGGAGTCTTAATCACAGGTCAACGCTATGGCAACAGGTTCTCTGACCAATGGGAGGGAAGCCACAGGTGATGCGCTGCCTTGTTAAATGCCATTTTGACAGAATGTAATGCCAGATATCTTCGGCATGTGTGACTTTTGACACCACAAACCATGTTTTCAACTTTCTGGGTGTACTGTATTGTCTCATTCAAAATTAAGCTTACATTTGTAGGGGTGTATAGTATGAAATGTGTCGGTTCACCAAAATACAACAATACAATGGAAGGGAACAGAATTTAGTTTGTGGTTCTCACAGCAATGACAAAAATTCAATGTCCTTGTCAACAATTTTGATCAAAACTGTTTTCTGTGGAAGAATTTGTCCGGATGAAAACTGTTGATACTGTGTTCTGTGGATTATCCAGAGTTTCAGGGATTTTGCTGTTTTTGTATATCCTTATTTAGGTCAAATTATGACAGTTGAGCTACTTTGCACCACACTCCACTGACGGAGATGCTCAAAAAAAGGGCTTGTAGCATACCTACAAGTAAGTGGACGCAGAGTTAAGATCCCTGTTTCCAAGTATACATTTTCTCACTCAACTTGATTTTTAAATGTTTTAACTCAACATCTCAAATGCTGGGTAAATGAAAGCATGTGCAGATACACGGATACACCTTAATAGTGATATAAATATGTCTATTGTCAGTTCGTCAGCCAGCAGGTCAATCACTTTGGTCCAGGCTGAAATATCTCAACAACTATTAGATGAATTGCCTTGATATTTGGTACAGATATTCATGGTTCCAAGTGGAGTAATCCTAGCACCACCAGCAGGTCAGGTTGACATTTTTGGTTTCAGTGAAATGTCTCAACAACTTTTGGATGGAGTGCCATAAAAGTTCATATCCCACTCCTATCAGATGATTTATAAAAAGTTTGTGAGCGTCTTTTTTATCCAGTGCCATCATTTTAATTTCTTCAGTGCTTTGGTTTATTGTACTTTTATTTGATGCTAATTGGCAAATGTTTGCATGATAACACACTAAAATAAGATGGTGAACATGGTGGGACTCTCTCAACTCTTCAACATCCAGTTACTATGCAGATAAGGGACCAGTTATAAATTTACATAGGCTAGCTGACTAATTCATTCTAGATTTAAAATGATGTTCAAGCTGGTATTTAAAAGACTTTCACTAAATTATTTTTGCCATTTTACAATCATCAACATCTATACATCATAATTATATTTTGTCTCTTTGGAGATTTTATTACT